AGAGATAAAATTGATATCAGTGACACAAGATAACCACATTTCCCTCAGATCACATATCACTGTTCAGCATGGATGCAATGGAATAGCATTCAAAAAACCAAACCTTATTGTATGTTGTAAAAAAAATGTTCTGGTTTTAGGTTTAGATGGAACAGTAATAAACTCAATAGCTACAAATCAGAACTAGAGGATGCTTTTGTAAAAAAGCGCATGTCTCCCCCACTGCTGAGAATAACTGTGAATGGAAACAGGAATGGAAATGGAGATAAGATAATGTAAATACCCGGTAGTCACTTCAATGAAGGCTGTCTATGGATGGTTTCTATTGTTAAGGTTGTATGAGAAGATGCTTCCTAAACTGTTTGTTTTTAACCAGGTATTCAATTTTGAATATGTCTCCCCCCAGTTTGAGGGTTGTAGGTCAAAAGGAACTCTAGTTATCATCCGGAAAAGAGAAATTGACCAACGGTCACTGTGACCTTGACCTTTGACCTACTGACCCCAAAAACAATAGGGATCATCTGCTCTATAAGACCAATCATCCTATGAAGTTTGAGGGCTGTAGGTCAAAAGGAACTCTAGTTATCATCCGGAAACGAGAAATTGACCAACGGTCACTGTGACCTTGACCTTTGAACTACTGACCCCAAAAACAATAGGGATCATCTGCTCAATAAGACCAATCATCCTATGAAGTTTGAGGGCTGTAGGTCTAAAGGAACTCTAGTTATCATCCGGAAACGAGAAATTGACCAACGGTCAGTGTGACCTTGACCTTTGACCTACTGACCCCAAAAACAATAGGGATCATCAGCTCTATAAGACCAATCATCCTATGAAGTTTGAGGGCTGTAGGTCAAAAGGAACTCTAGTTATCATCCGGAAACGAGAAATTGACCAACGGTCACTGTGACCTTGACCTTTGAACTACTGACCCCAAAAACAATAGGGATCATCTGCTCGATAAGACCATTCATCCTATGAAGTTTGAGGGCTGTAGGTCAAAAGGAACTCTAGTTATCATCCGGAAACGAGAAATTGACCAACGGTCACTGTGACCTTGACCTTTGAACTACTGACCCCAAAAACAATAGGGATCATCTGCTCAATAAGACCATTCATCCTATGAAGTTTGAGAGCTGTAGGTCAAAAGGAACTCTAGTTATCGTCCGGAAACGAAGAATGGACGGACGGACTGACTGACAAACGGACGGACTGACGGACGGACGGACGGACAGGGCAAAAACAATATGTCTCCCCCCGAGGTGGGGGAGACATAATGATACAAAATATGTAAAACTTAATCCAAATGAAAATGAGCTTTATATTTTTGGATGTTGTCATTATTTTTTCAGTGATTCTATGTATGTTCTTTCAAAAATATCAAAGGCTGGTAAAGTAATTGAAGAGAATCAATTGTACAATCTTCATGTAAATGCTTTAGGTTTAGCAATTGACCAAGTCGGAACCATCTTTATCTTTTCAAAATATGGTGACAACATAAAACAATTATCTTCAGATTTCGAAACAGAATATATCAACCGCATAGACTTTCAATTACCCCAACACCCAATTTTGATGAGACAATACCTTTTTTTTTATTGCAATAAGGAAAATAAACTTTATGGTAGCACTGATGAGTTTATCACAATATACAAAGTAGATTAGTGAACTGATAACCATTTATCATGGTAATAAGGTTATGCTTTCTGGACCGAAATAAATTATTTTACTCCTATACATTGACTTCTAGATGATCAATCTATGTTTATTTATTTTTTTGTCACATTAGATCTACATGAACAATAATGTCTGTTAAATTTTACACAGATATTCCTTCTTTACTCTATAGACATGAATGCTTTAAAGCAGCTTGCCTCCATATACATGCTAATTTTTATCAACATTTACAAGATGTATTTAAAAATGAAATTATACTAAAGTGAACAAAGAAAGTAACCTATACTCCATGTAAATTACCAAAAAGAGGTCAAACTATATAAAAATAGCCCTTACTGTATTAGTTAGACATTAGAAAAATTATGCTAAATACTACAAAATAGGTCATTAATCACACATAGCATGTAACTTATTACTTATCATTATTCTTTTTACCATTTTTATCACCTTTGTACATTTTTCTCAAGCTTGATTTTTTTTTGAAACTCTTTGGATTATCAGGAGGCATGCACCTTTATATATCAAAAGCATTGTAACTAGAGATCATTATATATATTTTATATTAATAAAATATTATCATATTGTTGTTCTTTTAAACCAAAGATTATCATATGCTTTTTTTTCTTTCTTAAAAAAGATGACAAGACAAATAAACAAAGATGGTTATAATTTATTGGGGTTTTTTTTTCCAACAAGAAATGATTTATTATAATTCAATGGTTTAGCAATTTACAAAGCAGGAACCATCTTTACACATTCATTTGCACCAAATGGTAATTTAACACAATAATCTCCAAACCTTCAGACAGAATACACACTTCAAAATCTATTCAGTTGTGAAATAAGCTTATTTTACTGTAACAGAGAAAACAAACTTTATGTTGGTACGGCAAAAGGACATATGAATGTGTACGAAGATGAGTGATTAATTGACTCTAGAATTGCAGGAAAAAATGTAGACTGTAGTAGGACTTCTGTGTAAATGTGCCACAATTACAATTTCACATCAAAAACTGCAATCAATATCTGTTTTGTAAATAACTTGAGAATAAAATTTTCCTTTTCATCTTCAGTTATTATAATGTTTGATTTACTATGTTATTGATGAATGTTTGATGTAAAACCTCCACATCAAATGAAAGACTGTAGCTGGAAGCTTTCCTAGTTCTTGGTCAGACAAGTTTTTTATGGTCAAAGCCACAGTGACATTGACTTACACAAAACCTTTTAATTGCAGACCAAAAAAGTATCTGATTATTGGTCTGATATGCTTTTTGTGTACATTGCCATGGTGACCTTGATCAATTAATCTCATAATCAATAGGAGTCACCTACTAATGATTAAACTTTACAATTAATCTAAAAAAATAAGGGTAAACAATCACTAGTTACTGATTTGTTGTGTTTTAAGGCAAGAGTAGCCTTTGACCACAAAATTAAATGGTCAGTGATAAATCCTCAACATATCTTAGAACAGTAGGCCAAAATGTTCTCTAGCTACTAGTATTGGTCAAACGTTGTCTGGTCTAGAAAATTCTATTTTTAGCACTGGTGATCTTGACCTTGAACCCAGTGATCTTAAATAGCATCCAGAGTTCAAATATGGTAGCCATGCACTAAACATTGAAGACATAAGTCATAAAATCAAGGCTTTATGTGTAAAAGTGTAGAACTTTATTTTAGCACCTGTGAACTTGACCCCCAAAACATAACCAAAATTAGATGAAATCAACCTACAAAATGTGGAAGATATTTGTCTATACATGAAGTTGCTAGATGAAATATTAAATACCTAAAATAGGTTTACCATACCAGGTCTTATTTTCAAAGCTATTAAAATGAAAATATCTGGAAAAAATGATGCCAAAGTTATGAAACTAGCCAAGGTTGTATACTATGTATCATACGTGTGTGTTGCATGAAGCCACTGTTATATATATCCAACTTGCCAAAAAAGCTTAAACAGAAAAGCAGTAAAAAATTCAATTGTCAAATATTTTTGTGATGTTGAATTTTTTTACATAATTAAAAATCAAAAAGAAGGCATGTTCTTTAAAATCTTTAGTATAAAGAGTGAAAATTTGAAGTATATTGGTAGTGATGACATTTTTCAGCATGTGATTCATGAAAATAAAATCAAGCAGCATTATGGAAATTTCTTTGCAAACTTTCTACTAGCTTTTACCCCTGTTCTGTGTGAAATGTTTAAATTGCCATTGGTTATTGCTGACACAATTTGAAAAGAACAGAGACAAGATTTTGTCTTACAAAAGTCAGTGGAAAATGTGTTAAGCAACTAATATTGCTTTCAATCCCACCTAAATCCTATTGATACCAAGAAAAGAAGAACAAGTGGTCTATATGCCATATCTTCTTTAAAAACCATGTGGAAATTTTGTTGAAAATCACTTATCCTTAATATTTTTGTAAATCTCATACCACTTTCTCACTAGTCCATGTCTTAAAGCACTACCAATTCTACTGATATAAATAATTAATACATACATATAATTATGTATGTATCTGAAATTTCATATTAACAAAGAATTTTGTCATGAAATTTCTCAGATGGTAAAAATAGGTAAACTTTCAGGGCATGTTCTGACCAAAATTGTGTTGGTTTATGAACCTTTTTCATCATGATCATGATCATCTTACATAGCAGAAAATTATAAATTTTCAAAATACATTAAAATCAGAAATGTGACATCCCATAAGCATTTTTTTTTATATGTGCATTTCAACATGACATAATTTCTATATCAATGTAAACATAAGTTGAATGGTTAGGTAAATTTCAACCAAGTATTCTAAGGAATTCATTAATGTTTATGTATTTTACTAAGATAAATGTACATTTATATATTTTGTCACCTTTTATTCAGATTATTACATCTAATATATCTATTTGCTTATTACTATTTATAAGCTGTTACTCAATGAGTATCATAACTAGATCAAGAAAGGTCATACTAAGGAAATGAGTTCAGAGCTTTTTTTCACATGTTGGGGAAGCAGCCCTGCCCTTAATTTTGGGGTCCACGAGGAACTTGCTTCTGATCTTAATATAAAATACAGACAAAGTCTTATGAGCAATCTGTCTTACAGACAAATAAATATACTAGTTTAAAATCTTCACACTACATAGCATGCATGTAATGAAGACATTGATTCTGAATTCTAAATTTAGGTAAAACGTTTAGTTCATTTCTCATCTAGCCAATCAAGCTAGAGCTAGTTAGTGAGTGACCTTAGAATCTGTCACAAATCTAGTTTAATTTCACGTTTCCATAGCAACAATATAACAAAGAAGAGCTTACTTTGAGAGAACTGCGAGGAGAATTTCTGTATAGCTTCGTCCACCTCTGGTATTGATGTTAATGAGAAGAGATAGGGCAGATATTTCACCAACTCCTGTGTAAACTCCACAGCACTCTGTTTCTCTGCATTCTTATATAGAGATAGAGATTCTCTTTTCTCCACATTCTGTTCTGTGAAATCATTACACTCTAGAAACCATAATAAATGATTTATTAGTAATTATAAGATTCAAGTATATTACTACAGTTAAACCTGCGAACAAAAACCATTCAAGAAGCGCTGCAATGAGAAGAAAACCAGGATTTCAACGACCAAGTTTTGATGTGACAGCAATCAATAGGTCATAAAGCACTGAAGTGATTGAGTAGAAGGTGAAAATTCTATTGTAAGCAAATGACCTTGAACTTGCTCCCAGATATCTTAGTGGCAATCCAAAGCTGCCACTCAGCAAGTTTGGTGTCAAAAGGTCAAAGCAAACTCAAGTTATAACATGAAAACTAAATACATTAACCTTGATCACAGACACCTGGGTAGCAATCCCAAGGTGCGGCTTGATATAAGAAACTCATTCATCAAGTTTGGTGTAATTAGGCCAAAGCAAACTCAAGTTATTGAGCAGAAACTGAATTTCTATTTTTAGTAACAGTGACCTTGACCTTGATCACAGTTACCTGGATAGCAATCCCAAGCTGCCTCTAGATATAACCTATCCATTCACCAAGTTTGGTGTCAATAGGCCAAAGCAAATTCAAGTTACTGAGCAGAAACAGTGACCTTGACCTTGATAACAGACACCTGGGTAGCAATCCCAAGCTGACTCTTGATATAAGCTATCCATACACCAAGTAAGGTGTCAATAGGCCAAAGCAAACTCAAGTTATTTAGCGGAAACTGAATTTCTATTTTTAGTAACAGTGACTTTGACCTTGATCACAGACACCTGGATAGCAATCCCAAGCTGCCTCTTGATATAAGCTATCCATACACCAAGTTTGGTGTCAATAAGCCAAAGCAAACTCAAGTTATAGAGCAGCAACTGAATTTCTGTTTTTAGTAACAGTGACCTTGACCTTGATCACAGACACCTTGGTAGCAATCCCAAGCTGCCTATTGATATAAGCTATCCATTCACCAAGTTTGGTGTCAATAGGCTAGAGCAAACTCAAGTTATAGTGGAAACTGAATTTCTATTTTTAGTAACAGTGACCTTGACCTTGATCACAGACACCTGGGTAGCAATCCCAAGCTGCCTCTTGATATAAGCTATCCATACACCAAGTTTGGTGTCAACAGGCCAAAGCAAACTCAAGTTTTTGAGCAAAACTGAATTTCTATTTTTAGTAACAGTGACCTTGATCACAGTCACCTGGATAGCAATCCCAAGCTGCCTCTTGATATAAGCTATCCATACACCAAGTTTGGTGTCAATAAGCCAAAGCAAACTCAAGTTATAGAGCAGCAACTGAATTTCTATTTTTAGTAACAGTGACCTTGACCTTGATCACAGACACCTTGGTAGCAATCCCAAGCTGCCTCTTGATATCAGCTATCCATACACCAAGTTTGGTGTAAATAGGCTAAAGCAAACTCAGGTTATTGAGCGGAAACTGAATTTCTATTTTAGTAACAGTGACCTTGACCTTGATCACAGTCACCTGGGTAGCAATCCCAAGCTGCCTCTTGATATAAGCTATCCATACACCTAGTTTGGTGTCAATAAGCAAAAGCAAACTCAAGTAATTGAACAGAAACTGAATTTCTATTTTTAGTAACAGTGACCTTGACCTTGATCACAGACACCTGGGTAGCAATCCCAAGCTGCCTCTTGATATAAGCTATTCATACACCAAGTTTGGTGTCAATAAGCCAAAGCAAACTCAAGTTATTGAGCAGCAACTGAATTTCTATTTTTAGTAACAGTGACCTTGACCTTGATCACAGACACCTTGGTAGCAATCCCAAGCTGCCTCTTGATATAAGCTATCCATACACCAAGTTTGGTGTCAACAGGTCAAAGCAAACTCAAGTTATAAAGCAGCAACTGAATTTCTATTTTTAGTAACAGTGACCTTGACCTTGATCACAGACACCTGGATAGCATTCCCAAGCTGCCTCTTGATATAAGCTACCTACACACCAAGTTTGGTGTCAATGGGCCAAAGCAAACTCAAGTTATTGAGCGTAAACCAAAAGTTGACGCCTGCCCGCTCGCCGACTTCAGCATTACAATAACCCGGTTTTTGTTGAAAACCTGGTTAACAAAGGAGAGACCAAGCATGGCCTTTATATACATGTGGTCTTTAGTTGGATGTTTTTTTGTTCTATTTAACCAATGACAGGTTTTCAAAAAGTGGTCTTTATTTACTGGATGATCTTTATCATGAGGTGTTTAAACACAAGTTTAACTGTATTACATCACATATTAGTGTTTGTAAACAAATAAATAACTGAATAGGGATAGAGGGGCCATCTTACTTTAAACAAAACAAAAGAGAACAATTGAGTCCATTATGTAATGACAATTCTGTAATAACAATAGTGAAGAGGCCAAGGGCTCTCTATTAAACAAAAAGAAAGAGCCCTATATCCCAATTAGGTCGAATGTTCGAACAGCTGGACTGACAATGCCAAATCTATACCCCTCAAATTCTTTGATGTAGATAGAAAGTACTTGACTTACCCTCCAATATATCTCTGTCTTTCTTATCACATTTACCAGCATCAGGGTGACCATTAATACTGTTGTATATATTGCTATTATTAATATTTTGGCCTTTCTCTTCCGTATCAGAATGTGATGTTACAGAATTAGACCTATCCAGCTTAATCCTCTCTTTATCTGAAACAGAAAAATTCTTTGTCTTTCTATATCTTGAGATGTTACTTATCTTTTGTGTTATTGTATTTCTGAGAGTAGTTTCTACAATACCCAACATGTTTCTCATATCATCTCTTCACATCAAAGAATTTAGTTCAGTTTAGTGTTATTCTAGTTTTATGTAAACACTGAACATCAGTTTTCAAAGTTATGGTAAAACTGCCAATCATCTCTTTTACAATTTGCTAACATTTCCAGAAAGTGACATTTGTAAATATATATTTACTTTTTAAAATGATAATATTTAAAGCAGTTGGTAGGGCAGCGTGCTGGACTATTCAAAGTGGTGTATAGTAGAACAATAATCTGGATAATGTAGAATTTTCTATGTCTAAAAAGGGCCATAATTCTGTCAAAATCCATGTAAGAGTTATGGCCCTTAAACAGTGAATTCCTATAACTCCCTCACATCAGTGTGTAAAAGTTTCAACCATTCCCTTTAGCAGTTTTGGAGATAATAATTTGCATGCAAAAACTTAACCAAAGTATTAAGCAATGCTGACGCCTAGGTGAGTACAATAGTTCTCCTTCTTCTTTGAATAGTCCAACTTAAAATGAAACACTGAGAAAGGAGTTAAAGAGCAAAGAATCATTGTTTACCATGTCTGTTCTGGAATCGATCTTTGATGACCTTGACACTGTCTTCATGTACACCTATACCTCGGTCTAGCTGTTCTATAGAGGTCAAAAGGTCACCAACACACATGACACATGTAAAGCAGAGGGCGGAGTCACTGGTATGACAACACTCTTTTATCGAATCTACAATACTGATATATAAAAAATTACTTCAATTTAATTTAATTATTTATTTTATAATGAATTTTCAAAGAAACAAATTTACGCTATCCACTTATGTTTTTTACTATAGATTTACAATTTTTGTGTCTGGAACTATATCCTATGTTCAATTAAACAACTTCAATATCAAAATGCTCAAATTATGCTGGACAGAGACATGCCTCATACATTGTATGTAAATAAGATTCAAGTTTTGTTATTTTCTATACATTTCAATTATAAGAAAAGCAATTTTTTGATACTCATAAGCAATAGAAACAAGAGCTGTCACAGGAGACAGCCAAGCTCGACTAATAAAATACTGGACGCAGTAAGCAGGACAAAACTGTGAAAAAAAAATCAATTATGTATAATTATGTATTAAGTTATAGTAAAAAAATAACATTTGTTAACATAAATTCCAAGATCAAGGGAAATAATTCTAGAAAAAGTCACGCTAGAGTTATGAACCTTGTCACACAACATGTGTTTGAAGTAGATACCTTAAAAAGTAAAGAAGTTATTACATTTCTTAAAGAAAATCCTAAGTTCAAAGAGAGATAAATCTGTAAAAATTGCTTTAAGAGTTATGAACATTGTCACATGATAAGGAATAAGTACTTGAAGTTTGAGGTAGATATCTTTAAAACTAAAAAAGTTATAGTAAAAAATAACATTTTTCTAGTAAATAAATCTAAGTTTATGGGGAGATAATTCTTGCAATATTGGTGCTAGAGTTATGAACCTTGTCACATAAGATGTGGATGATGATAAGGTACATATATTTGAAGTATGAAGTTGATCCTTTTAGAAATAAATAAGTTACAGTAAACAAGAAGGCCATGATGGCCCTGAAGTCGCTCACCTGTATATAGGCCCCCAGAGCGGGGCCAGTTTAAACCCCAGGGCTTTTATTTGAACAAACTTGGTAGACACCCATTAGAAGATGTTTCATGCTTAACATCTAATGTCTAGCTCGTTGAGCTTTTTAAAAGAAGATTTTTTTAAAGTTTTTACTTAACACCTATAGTTAAAAGCAATGACAACCCTGGGGCGATGATGATAACACCCCAGTTACACAGAGCCATCGGTGATTGATCGGTATTTTATTTAGCCAAATTATGGAGTGAACCGATGACAATGTATTTAACACCGATATCACCTATTGGCCACCTGTTTTCCACCTATCAACTGCTATTGGGGAACGATAAGTTTCATCGGTGAAAAATTACCGATTGGGATTTTTAAACACGTTTAAAATTCTCGATCGGTGAAAATATTTTAAAAATAACCGACGGCAACCTATATCACGAGATATGCAAGCTATTAATCACTGATATCGCCGATCGGACAAAGATAACCAAATATGAATCACCGGCCATATCTGACGGAAAGTGTTTAACCACTGATGACTAGCTATCAAACACCGATTAATCAGCGTTACGCCCGATTTAGCTCCGATTTACCAACGATATAAACCAAAAGTATTTCAGCATTTAATCATCGACCCATTCCCGTTTGAGTTTGCTTTCTCTCACCGATGGCCGTTTACACAGAAACCCAGAAATAAAATCACGCATGACAACCGATCATAACAGCGAGTAAATTTAAATTTAAATGACCGATTGGAGACCGACCGTCTGTGTAACTGGGCCCTAAGGTACATATAAATTATTTGAAGTATGAGATTGATCCCTTAAAAAATAAAGAAGTAACAGTAAAAAATAGTATTTTTTAAGGAAAATTCTAAGTTCAAGGGGAGATAAATCTGAAAATATTGGTGCTAGAGTTATGAACCTTGTCACATAAGATGTGGTTGATGAAAAGAAACATACATTTGAAGTTTGAAGTTGATACCTTATGAAATCAAAAAGTTATGGTGAAAAATATTTTACTGCACCAAAACTTTAATCTGAAATCTGGACCAGGACGCCGACGCCGGGGCGAGTAGGACAGCTCTCCATATACTTGTATAGTCAAGCTAAAAACTTAACCTAACAATAACGGTCAAAAAGGCTTGATAAAATGAGAATAACTCAGACCATAAGTTAGCTATTAGATTACAAGTTTATGTTGAACTTTGCGGAAATAAAGGTTTAATTGAAAGACAGAAATATATATTTAGACTATCAAAATATTACTACAACAGTTTAATATACATGTATATTCTACATGTATTATAGTATAGATATACTTACAGTTTAATTAGAGCCAGATCATTAGTTTGTGTGACAGATTTCCCTGACCTTGACCTGTCATCATAATAGGTCACTGTTATATCACACAGTTTAGATGGACTGGACAGTAACTGAAACATATATTATAGCATAGGTAATCACATAGGCCTTCCAACTAAGCTTACCTATATTGTTCTCTATATTGTTATTTTCACTTTTTAAGACATAAATCTTATTTGGGCATGTAATGTGAAGCTGTATACTGTATATAAAATTTTTGGTCCAGAAGAATCAGCGATCTGGTTTTTTACCCTTAACCTGCTGAAACTTCTTAAATGAACTTGTCCAGTTTCCATTTTGGAATTGTCCATATTCATTTTTGGGGATATCAAAATGAAAACTTTAAGTTGGTAAGCCAACAGTACAAATACTGGTAATAAGCATATCCTTGCTAATGGTAAAAAAACATCAAAAATTACATTTAAAACTGGAATTACTCCCATTAAAAAACAAGAATAGTCCTTACCTCCTTCAATGCTTTAAGGGCATCATGTCTGTTGTTGGGAGAAGAACAGATCAATATTCTATGAAACAATGACTCCAGTACTGGTCGTAGTGACTTTACTGGTCCTACCATCTTAGCTATAGCCACTGATATACTGTCCAAAACAATAAAATGTTTTATTAAAGTGATATTATCAAACATTTACATAATACAATAAAATAATGTCTTTAGTGTTTTGTTTTTTGTTGTTGTTTTTTTTGTTGTGTTTAACATCATACTAACACAGTATAGGTCATATGGCAACTTTCCAGCTTTACTGGTGGAGGAAAACCTCAGGTGCTCCTCTGTACATTATTTCAGGCACAAACGGACACCTGAGCAGAACCACATACATTGTGCAAGCTAGCTGGATAGTTTTCTTACATGAATAATCCAAAGATGCCGGGAAGGCTCGAATCTACAGCAATGAGAGGCAAGTGGTTTGAAGTGTCTTTAGTGTTTAGGAAACATAATATATATAATTGTCTCTAATGAAACACTTTGAAAACACATCAGGTTGTTTGAATTCGCTGGCTAAGAATTAGATAGTCCCTCATTGCAGATCTATATATTTTCATGGCATGAATGCACTATTTTAAAACCATTTGCCTTTTACAGTTCATATATTCTACAAGAAATAATATAATATACAATGGTAAATTTCCAGTTTCCAAAGGTCTTTATGACAACTTTCCATCTTAAATAGGCTGTCCCTCAGAATTTAATGAGGTAAAAGTGGGATTATGGGTCTTACATGAAAGAAATAGACAATTATGGTTTGATTAAAACCTACAGTACTTAAAAGTTACAAGACCTGTCAATATCAATTTGCTTACAGTAGATATTTGAACAAATTGACACAAAGTCGTAATGCATACTAATATACCTGTAAATAATTTTAGCTGTAGCAGAAGAAAGGTTTGTAGAATCTACATTTCTTTGGGTATCACCACCAGCTTTTGGTTTTATCTCAGCTCGAGGTATTCCCAATAGTGATATCAAAGTCGGGCACAGATTCTGCCTAAAAATATATATCATATTAAATTTACAGTAAAATTTTAAAAATCGATTTCTTATTACCAGATTTTCACAATTTGAAACTTTTATAAAAAAAAACAAGAGGGCCATGATGGCCCTGAGGTCGCTCACCTGTATATACGCCCCCCACCCCCGGGCCAATTTTTACCCAAGGGCTTTTATTTGTTTATTTGAACAGACTTGGTAGACACCCATAAGATGTTTCATGCTAAACATCTAAGTTCTAGCTCATTGGCATTTTTAAAAGAAGATTTTTAAAGTGTTTACTATACACATATAGTTAAAAACAATGTCACCCCTGGGCCAGGACCAGTTTTGACCCCCGGGCGTTTATTTTAACAAACTTTGTAGATATTTACTTAAAGATGTTTCATGCTTAATATCTAAACTCTAGCTATTTGGGTTTTTCCAAAGAAGATTTTTAAGTTTTTGCTATACACATATAAGGAAAATCAATGACCCCCCCCCCCGGGCGGGGCCAGTTTTGACCCCAGGGCTTTTATTTGAACATACTTGGTAGACACCCATTAGAACATGTTTCATGCTAAATATCTTAGCTCTAGCTCTTTGAGTTCTTTAAAAGAAGATTTTTTAAGTTTTTACTATATGCATATAGGGAAAATCAATGACCCCCTGGGGCGGGGCCAATTTTGACCCCAGAGCTTTTATTTGAACAAACTTGGTAGACACTCATTAGAAGATGTTTCATGCCAAATATCTAAGCTCTAGCTCTTATGGTTCTTTAAAAGAAGATTTTTTAAGTTTTTACTATATGCATATAGGGAAAATCAATGACCCCCGGGGCGGGGCCAATTTTGACCCCAGGGATTTAATTTGAACAAACTTGGTAGACACTCACTAGAAGATGTTTCATGCTTAATATCTTAGCTCTAGCTCTTTGGGTTCTTTAAAAGAAATTTTTTAAAGTTTTTACTATATGCATATAGGGAAAATCTATGACCCCCTGGGGCGGGGTCAATTTTGACCCCAGGGCTTTTATTTGAACAAACTTGGTAGACATTCACTAGAAGATGTTTCATGCCAAATATCTAAGCTCTAGCTCTTATGGTTCTTTAAAAGAAGATTTTTTAAGTTTTTACTATATGCATATAGGGAAAATCAATGACCCCCGGGGCGGGGCCAATTTTGACCCCAGGGCTTTAATTTGAACAAACTTGGTAGACACTCACTAGAAGATGTTTCATGCTTAATATCTTAGCTCTAGCTCTTTGGGTTCTTTAAAAGAAGATTTTTTAAGTTTTTACTATATGCATATAGGGAAAATCAATGACCCCTGGGGCGGGGCCAATTTTGACCCCAGGGCTTTAATTTGAACAAACTTGGTAGACACTCACTAGAAGATGTTTCATGCTTAATATCTTAGCTCTAGCTCTTTGGGTTCTTTAAAAGAAGATTTTTTAAGTTTTTACTATATGCATATAGGGAAAATCTATGACCCCCTGGGGCGGGGTCAATTTTGACCCCAGGGCTTTTATTTGAACAAACTTGGTAGACATTCACTAGAAGATGTTTCATGCCAAATATCTAAGCTCTAGCTCTTATGGTTCTTTAAAAGAAGATTTTTTAAGTTTTTACTATATGCATATAGGGAAAATCAATGACCCCCAGGGGCGGGGCCAATTTTGACCCCAGGGCTTTTATTTGAACAAACTTGGTAGACACTCACTAGAAGATGTTTCATGCCAAATATCTAAGCTCTAGCTCTTATGGTTTTTTAAAAGAAGATATTTAAAGTTTTTTCTTTTGGTTGCCATGGCAACCAGAGTTCTGCATGGAATTAAATTCTTTGAACAATTTTTAAAGGTGACCACCAAAGGAACATTCCTGTGAAGTTTGGATGAAATTGGCTCAGTGGTTTATGAGGAGATGTCATTTAAAGCAAAAGTTTACGGACGGACGGACGGACGACGGACGGACGGACGCCGGACGAAAAGCGATCACAAAAGCTCACCCTGTCACTTTGTGACAGGTGAGCTAAAAAAACAACTCCATACTAAAAATTCACAGCTGCTCTGAGGTTTTAAAGGCAATGTTTTTTATGCTTTCTTTGTGAATAAGGATAAGGCACAACTGAATAGTGAAAATAAGCAACATTATGTTTTATATCTTCAGTCATTAATGTTCATATATAAACAATCAAATTTGAGAATACTTTCTACTAAAATCATTAATCCATTATTAGAATAGATTCTCTTCAACAGGCAACAAATTACTCTACTTTTAATGTTAAAGAACTATATCCTTATCCTGCTGGAACAATAAGTTATTAGCCTTTACAACCAGTATACAACCTGGCCAGACTAAACATCTGTGCATTCTGACCAGGCTCTATAATTGTCGGTAGTCTAAATTTATTGTATTTTGATACTAAAATTGTTCTTAGAATAGACCGTTTCAAATTCTAAGCTGACCAATTATTACACAAATTTAGCTTAAGGGTTAAGTATAATCTGATTCAAAGAACTGTTTTCTGGTTTTGTGAATGAGGCATAATTTTGGCTAACAGTTGCTCTGTAAAAGAAACAACAACACACATACAATGAAACTTAGAAGAAGTTAAAGTTGCGTTTTCACAGTTAGATGTAAGTTTCCTTTTCACAGTATCATAAAACTACTTATACAAAATCTAAAGGTTACATACCATACTAGTTGTTGAAATCCCTCACAGTTTCTCAGTTGTGCTGGGGAGTTAGAGACTATTGCTAATATACCTTCTAACAACAATGGTACTGCCTGTTTACTCTGACCAGCTCTACAATTGTCCACAAATGGACAAAATTAATTGTAATGATACTGATAACATATTTCCATTAAGATATCCATCAATTAAGTGTTTTTTCCTGTTATTGTTGTTGTTTTTTGTTAGTTTAAATAATGCCTAATTATACCATGCCACCAACAAAAAGGACCACGATAATAAGAGCCAGTCTTTTTTTTGTGTCATCCATGGTGCTGATGTACGTGTCATAGGTATAATTTCATGTTTTGTAGTTTTTATTTTTGTAATCATATTTTTGTATACACGTATATGTATAAATTGTATAAATTGAAATAAAATAATTAAAATCAAAGTGATTTTGTTCAGGCAATATTATGAACACTGATTGTTATTCTAAAATATTTCATATCTAATTACAGACATAAGCAGCTATATAGTTAAAACTTCAAACATTCTGTTACTTATGAATAATTTCAACATGTGAGGAAATCGAAACTTGCTACGAAGATTAAAATTTGAATTTGTTACAAGCAAATGATTTGTTCAACTTGTGATTCATGATATAAATTTAATAAAATAAGAAATCATTACTAACTTGGCAGCAACAGCAACTTTGTCAGTGAGGAAATTGAGTAGTGTAACAACATCTTCTGTCAAACTTTCTACCTTAGAATCACCTGAAAAATTCATGAAACATTAAAAATATTGTCAATATTTACTAATATTGTCACATTGAATATAGTAAAAGTGAAATTTTGAACAGACTTAAATAATTCTTCATTACATTGACAGAACAGTCAAATGAATTCAACAAATGTAACTGTAATAAAACATTTACCAAAACTTCAAAAGGTATTCATTTGTAACTTTAATGTGTCATAAGTGATGTGTATTTTCATAAAAAATATCTTTGTCATACAATTGTGACTTTCTAGCAGTCAGTAAGACTAAGAATTTTTACATGTATAAGCTATGATATTGTAATACATGTACACTTAATCAAAGGCAAAATGTTGACTCCTGACATTGCAATATAATAGTAATCATATGTGAAACACAATATACCTTTGATAACTTAATGAGGCATGCATACTAATTCAGTATGTAGTTACACTGAAGTGTGGAATGCACACTGATTTTAAATATAGCAGAGTAAGAACCTGTCACATTAAAGTGCAACATGCACACTGATTTTAAATGTAGCAAAGTAAAAACCTGTCACACTTGACTTGCACACTGATTTAAAATGTAGCAAAGTAAATACTTGTCATACTGAAGTGTGACATAAACTGATTTTAAATGTAGAGAAGTAAAAACCTGTCACATTGAAGTGAGACATGCACACTGATCTTAATTGTAGTAAAGTAAAAACCAGTGTCACATTGAAGTGTGACTTGCACACTGACTTTACATGTAGCAAAGTAAAAACCTGTCACACTGAAGTGTGACATGCACTGATGTGTGACATGCACACTGATTTTTAAATGTAGCAAAGTAAAAACCTGTCTCACTGAAGTGTGACATGCACACTGATTTTAAAATGTAGCCAAGTAAAAACCTGTAACATTGAAGTGTGACATGCACACTGATTTATAATTTAATTACAAACCTCTTGCATTGAAATGTGACATGACATCATCTTCAGCATGCTCCTAAATAAAACAGAGAGGGGATTAATGAGTTAGTATGGTAAAATGCACACCATGCTTTTGTTTATTGCATTACTTTTAACTTATAACAACAAAATTTTACAATTCCTTTAATATGCATATTCCTTGATTACTTATAGCATATGGAAGAGTTGACTGCATATCTAATTTCTGTAGCCTATTTTTTCTGATAATAAATATATATGATTATAAATATATATGTCATATAAAAGAAAAAGATGCAAATAAAAAGCCGTAATATCTGGGTTATTTAGAATTGAATGCTAAAAAAATTGTCCTACTATTGACAAGTGCAAAGTTAGCTAAATACCAGTGTTTTTACTGATGTCATATTGCAATTGCTTGCTATGTATGCATCTATACCAATCTATTTCTCTATGAAAGACTTCAGCAAAAATTAACTGAATCACCACTAAAAATGTTTATATACATATTGCTTCAAATAAAACTCTTTTAAAATACATGCTACACACCCCATCTATTCAGCTTAACCAATAATTTGACCGGGCTCTATACTGTTGGTAGCTCTATTCTTCTATTTTGATATTGAAATCCCTTAAACTGCAAATGGATTGTTTAAAAATTACAGCTGGGCAAATCTGATACACAAATTCAGCAGTTTTAGGTTAATCAGCAAACTTTACTTTACATAACTTCAAGCTCTAAAAGCACTGAATGCTATAACTGTAAGCTTACAAGCTATCTAAAATATATTATCTAAATAAATTACAAGAAATCCTCCATATAAATATCTATCTCATATCTTTGACTTACTGTGAATAAAAGCTAGGACTTGATTTTAGTCAATATTATTATGTATTTCATTTCCATTTCTGGTTGGGATTAGCAACTTTCAGCAAAACCTCAATTAAAATTTATTATTATAAAAGTGCAAAAATAGGCACCATATTAGAAACACTTACTCTCTAGCAGCTAGCTAGATAGCTTACATAAAAAAATTCTGCATCCTTGAAAGTATTCAAACTGACATACTTTGTGGAGCATGAGATCTTTAATTTAGCAACCTTAAGAACTAAGCTATGGTGGCCCCTTTAGTCACTATAATATCTCATTATGAATTATTACATTGTATATAAAACAGTAGTGAATAGCTCTTTGTCTTTACACTTGGCACCTATCAAGGTGTAAATATCATAGCTGCTTAAGCCTGTAGCCGTGATATGAGTTGACCTTAAATCAAAATCTAGACATGCAGTACTTAAAATAAAATCTTTACTACATGGCAATTGAGACATTTATAGTTCAAATATATAAAATCTTGTTTATATTTCATGTTAGAGAGGTACCACAGATAACATATTCCATGTTAGTAATGTCTTGTAGGCAAAGAGTTAATATATTCATATACTCAAAATTAAACAAATACATGCAAAAGCAGAGGTGTTGAAAAATGAAATAAATGAAAAAATACAATAATAGTAAAAACAAAACAATACCAAAACAAAAAACAAGCATTTTACCATTGCATTATAAATAGTAGTGCTTTAATAGCCTCGTTCACTCACCTAAATACTAGGAAGATGTTATTTTTAGTTTAGGTTTTAAGTCAATTTATCAAATTACACAGCTTTAGTGTCTGATCAGGGTATCATTGTTCACTATTTGGCAGTTAATATTTTAAAAACCTCCCCTAAAAATGGTGAATAATTTTGTCCAGATTGAAATATGGACAGGCCATATAAGATATTTAGCAGGTAAATCACATGGAAAATGGAAACACTTCATTTTGTTGACAAGTAAATGATCTTGCATTTCATTGTTATCAGTGCATAACTATATTTATTATTTCTATAAGAAAAACAGTCATGCCTTAACAAACTCCTAGCATGCCCAGAGTAAAGATCCAGTGTAAAACAAATCTGTTCTTTTATGATTATCAAATCAAGCAAGCAAAGAATGTAAAACTACGTTACAAATGAAACAAAATTATCTTACATAATGTTGCACTGAGAGTAAACAAGAACATTGTTAACATTCTTCTTTAAAAGTACATGTAGTTGTTGAATTTGATGTCATTTTCAGGGAAGAAAAACATCTGCAGAAATAGGAAAGTTACACAAACTGACAACGGACAATGGCTGATCACAATAATGTCAATACAAGCAGTTCATACTTGAGTGAGATAATTAATATCATGTATATCAATATAAATATAAATTATATGAGCCACGTCATGACAAAACCAACGTAATGCGTATGCGACCAGCATGGATCAAGACCAGCCTGCGCATCCGCGCAGTCTGATCAGGATCCATGCTGTTCGTTTACAAACCCTATAACAAGTAGAGAAACTGATAGCGAACAGCATGGATCCTGATCAGACTGCGCAGCCTGGTCTGGATCCATGTTGATCGCGAACCCATTATGTTGGTTTTGTCATGACATGGCTCAAATTATATCTAGATTATAAATTCACAAAACAGCAAGCAACCACACAAAGTCTTACCACATTATGCATAGCAGAGCATAACTTTTCAGTAAAGCCTCCAAGCAACTGGATGAGAGCTGCTTGTACAATACCCTTAAGACTGGTAGAGCTACTGCTATATGTGTCTATGTATACCTATATAGGGCAAAAATATATGTCACAATGTAATTACGACATTTCTATTTTTAGAATATAACTAGCCACAGGTCTACATTAAGAATTTTCTAAAATAGTTATATGCAAAAAGAAAAATTATGTTCTGAAACAGCTTTGTATTGTTGACTTTGCAGTGGTTGTATTGTTAAGTATTTTTAGCTATTTAATTGCAACATTTAAAGCAAATTATTATATTATCATAATTTTATCATATGCAACAATTTTTTTCTGTTTGTTCAATTCTTAATATTGAAAGGTTTATTTATTTGTCTCCTGCTGTGCATTGACTGCATTTTGACGTAGGTTTGTGCCAGCAGTTTCTTCAAAGTATCCACGAAGTATAAATAGTTAAATGTGCGGAGTAAAAATTATAATGTAGCAAAGTTATAAAAAAAATGCTTATTATTAAAGCCTGGGTTTTCAGAACACTTCAGGAATAAAATTTCCATGAGGAAAATATGAAAGAATAAGTGGTGAAAATGAAAGCCTGTTTATTGGCTCTACCATTATAATTTGTGGCACATTTGAGGTATATATTTTTGGCACAATAAGGGCAATTGAAATTGACCTGTTTATAAAGATAATATTTATTGTACAAGATGTTCTTCAAACTGGAGAAAGAAAATGCTTAATGGCTTACTTGTCTAGTCACTTTCAGTGATAATTGTACAATAAATGTACATGTATCAAAAAATTAATTAAAAAACAACAACAACATAATTCATTCAGCTTATTGTAATGACCATAACCAAAGCCAGGCATCTCCCCTTTTCCTTAAAAACAAAACAAACAAAAAATGCGATTAAACAAGGCCCAACATCCTAAAATGAAAGAATGGAAGGTAAACAAAAGTGATTACAAAATTTTTCAATACATTACCTGAGCAACCTGTGTAATTATCCTGGAATTCATACACCATGCAGTGGAAAATGTCATCTTCAATAGAAGCTGTGAAAAAAATTAAACAATATTCATATTTGATGACTAAGAAAGGGCATGTTCTAGTGTCTATAATGCACGGATTCAGAGCCACTCATCCTGCAGAATGAGTGGCTTCAAATTTTTACTCGTCCTGCATGCTTTGCTACAAAAATTTCCTGTATTTTTGCCTCGATTTTCAAGATAAACTTCGCTGATGCAGTAGTACCTCGACAATGCAAAAGTGCGCTAAAAATTCTCATAATCAATCTCTTAGATACATTTAACAAACCAAAACTGGAAACAAAGCTTGTGCTTTAGGTTATGTATAAATGGCGCACTTTATAGGGCTTTGTCAGACACATTCCAGTTACCAATGTGTTCAGAGCTTTAACCATCGTTAAATGTAAAGAAACTGATTTTAAGAATTCTAGCTTTCTATTACATTGGCAAATTTCTACTTGTCCTGCCGGACGAGCATAAAACAAATTTGTACTCGCACTGCATTGATGTCTACTCGTAAATACGAGCAGACGAATGAAATTTTCGAACCCTGTAATGTCAGACTCATCTGGCACATTTTTTAGAAGAAACAAGTAAAAACTGTTTAGGTACTTGTATTCAAAAGCTGAAAACAGTTTGTTGTTTTTTTTTGCTTTTGGTATTGGGAATTGGGAATTGTGCCACATTCATGATCAGTTAAGTTACAAATCTGCCCTATTTCCCACCTTTTATAATCAAACATATACATGTACCTTCATAACATCAGTCTGTATGTCTTCAGGTAAGTTGGGAGTAGAATATACAGATTTAAGTATCTGTATAGGTAACCATTTATCCTCACTCTCTGTCTCAATACTAGACTGGAATCTACTGTCCTTTAATAGTTTCTGTAAAACAAAAACAAGACCACTGGATCTGGTGTTAACACTAGTCTATCAAAAAATTCTATGTTAAAAAGGGACATAACTCAAAAAAATATTGCTTTCAGAATTATGCCCTTGTCCAACAACTACACCAGGATAAGCAAGTCTTCTATGTTTTATGTTGATAGCTGTTTGTTTCAAAAATACAATGATGATGTCACAGCAATCACAATAGCTCAACTTTTCTACGGAACAGACAAGCGAAAAATACTTTAAAAAAACTTTCTTGTATAGTTCACTTTTCTGTTTTTCTGTTTTGTGAAAAATTCAACAGAAAGAAAATATTTTTTTATAAAGTTCTATATTTCTAGTCAAAGAGATACAAAATATATATGTAAATTAATTTTTGCTAAAATTTCAATACGAAGATATTACAGGTGCAAGCAGGTGTTAAGTCCACAAACTTCATTAAATACAATGTCTTATATACTTTTATTGGTTTAAAAGTATAGTTTGATTTAATGTAAAATACAAAATAATGTAATTGCTTTGAAATTAGTTATATAAAGAAAGATTGAATGGAGCCGATAATATGACCAAATACAAAGACAATCATGGAATGATAAGTGTTTTTAATATCAGCAAGTGTTTCAACTGAGTCATTGTTTTCACAATAACAAGAATGATGTTTGAGAAACAAAGTTAAATATCTTATATACCCACCTCAATGCCAGACACAGCATGGGACATCAATCTCTTTGTTTTACTCTCTAGGGCAAGGTGGAGAGGTTCAAGACATCTTTCTCTCAACATGTGAGCTGGTAATCTCTCAACATCTTCCTTATTCTTTAACACATCTGAAAAACAAGACACTAAGTAGTGTTCAGTCAATGTATTTCAACAACACAGATAACATTCCAAAAAGCATTTACATTTTTTTATTCACCAAACTTAAAGATCATGTATGTTGTAATTGAGGTTGTACACCACACTTAAGTGAAATTATATATATGTATATAATTATGCTTATAATAAAACAGTTTTCGAACATTGAAGAATTTGTAAAATATGTATTGCAAATATTTGCACATATATGTAATCATTAAAAATATGCATTCATTTCGTATTGAAAAATTTGACTTAAGACTTTATAGAAAATAATTTTTTTTATAACCTCCCATTATTTACATGAAATGCTAAATTTGGTAATATCTTTATAAATAATGCTTTTTGAAACTTACAAAATTGATCAATCTTAATTTGAGCATCATATTTATAATATAAAACCATAAAAGGATCTTTAAAATATCATAACAAACACTTAAAATTCAAAACCCTACTAACATTTACAACATATAAATGTATGTTTATCTTTCATACAAAAAATTTCTAATTTAAAATGGGTACTGTACCACAAAGTGCAGTATCTAAGCAGACGCACTTCTTACTGATTATGAAAGAAGACACAGTAATGTCAATCTGACCTGTTGTGTTGTTTCATAAAAAAAGGATGTTGCTGTGTTCTAAACTGAAACTCGATAAAATGTGTTCATTTATCCTCCATTTATGCATAGCTTAATTATTATATACAGAATGTGACTTTGTCTGCAGCTGGCTTAGCCTTATAGAAACAACTTACCTAGGGCGTTTTGAGCAGCTTGTCTGATAGGTTGAAATTTGGCTGCTTGAGCATCTTTAATCAATAATTGTAAAAGATCCTCCATTTTTCTGTTTTAAGAATAAATAAATTATCATGTCATCACAAACATTTATGATATATTCATTGAGATACAGGTGTTTCTATATCACTAAATGTTAGTTTGGTTAGTTTTCTGTCTGATTTGATCAATATATAATTCAAAATTTTGAGTTATAAAAAGTACTTTTCTGCTAGACTATGTGTTGATAAATCTATAACATAAATTCATTCATATCTATTTAATGGTATACAAAATACCTGCATTTATCTACTAAGTCCAGGAAAGATCTGGTTTTAAAAATTGAAAATTTATGCTTATCATTAAATCGTAAGTGCTTTCCTTGTAATAGCGAGCGCTAAGAACTGAGCTTTATGGTAACACAAGTACCTGCTAGATAGTGATGGTTTTTAAAACTTTTGCCCGAAGTACTGCAAAATTATGGGTAATTGCCCAATTGCAACTTTAGGAATTACAAGACAACAATAAAATCTGAGGAATTCTGATTGAAAACGGAAGCATAGACTGGTCTCCGGCGCACTTCTATGGGAACCATAATTAAACAAGGAGCCAGAATAAATGGAAGCAGTGCATAAAATTCCGAATGGCAGTGTTAAAACGGAAAATGTAAAATATGGTGTTGAGTGAATTATGTGGCCGAAAGAGTGTGGTTCTATATAAATGTATTGAAAACATAAAATGTGTAGCCGCCAATGGCTTTAAATTATAATCAGGGCCTTTTCACTAGTTTTGGGGAAGGCGCCCTAGCCCTTTTTGTGGGGAAAAAATGCGTGATTTTCACACTTTTGGGGAAAATATCATATTTCCACACATTTCGGGGGGAAATATCATAATTTATTTGCATATCTTCCTCCAGTCACATTTAAGGTTTACTATTGTACTAAGCTTTCTGTCCAACAGGAGTAAAAAACATTTTTTACAGATCAATTTATTGCCCCTTTATATTTTTTTTATGCGTTTATTTAAGGTCGCCGCCGGAAAGCCCATATGGGCGACCGTACACTCAAGTCGGGTCATCCTAGAGCGTCCCGCCGAGATTTTTCGTCGATTTTTTCCAGCTTTATTGGTGGAGGAAGACCCCAGGTGCCCCTCCGGGCATTATTTCAGGCACGAGCGGGCACCTGGGTAGAACCACCGACCTTCCGTAAGCCAGCTGGATGGCTTCCTCACATGAAAGATTTCGACCCGAGTGAGGATCGAACCTACAGTGGTGAGGGACCTGTGATCTCAAGTCAACGACTTTAACCACTCGGCCACGGATGCCCCTCCCCTTTATATTAACTCATATTTCCTATTTATAGTATTTTACATTGGTCATGTGAGGGTTCTTGGTTTGATTCAGAGGGTACATTATTATCAGTTTACACTGTATTACTGGCACTGATGTGCTAGGCTCGCTATTTCAGACAGTTGGGCATATTGTGCTACTCCATCACATGGGCTTGCACTAACAAGGTCATCAATTCATCCAATTTTTATTAAACAATTACAAACGTCACTCAATCATATTTATTTCTTGTTCTGTGACATTGTTTACATTAGTGACATTGTATCGGTCGCCATATTGTCGTAACAAATCACATGTGCACTAAAAAATAAGGCAGCAGGCATTTCCCATGCTGTTTTTAGAAAGTTGCAAACTCAGACTGAGGCTCTGAGTTTACATCAATTGTATTAAATCAAGGTATTGGGTTTTTGAATTATTAGCTTTCATTGGACAAAACAATTATCTATTTATAAAGAAGAAAGTTTGTTAACAAGTTTTATTCTTCAGTTAAAGGGGAAATATTTGCCAGAAGGGGAATTTTAGACTGTTTTTTGGGGAAAAAAGGTAGTAATTGGCTTGGGGAAGTAGCCTGATACAGGCTACAGCAAAGAAGGGTAAAAAGGCCCTGATAATGTATTATAATTTCTTTCAAAGAGCTTGCTTTGAGGCTTTTGCCTTATTCACCTAATTTGATGTAAGATTTTGTGGGTACTAAACTGTAAATATGTTGATATGACTGCAACAATTAAGACATAGCGATAAATAAGTTACGGTTATGTTAGATTTCGATTAAGGCCTTTTTTTATTGAATATATGACTCCATCATCTACATTATAACTAAGATGATAAAGTACTTTTTAAACCCGACGAAAAAAAATATTCATACAGAATATTTTGATCAACTCATCGTTTCTTTGACATGTTTGATGTTAAAAATTGCAGTAGCCGAGTAGGACTAGCTCCTACATAAACAGATAAACAGTATTTGCACGACAACGACGCCGCAGTGATGATAGAAGCTCGCTTTTCTCTTCCAAACAGGCAAGCTAATAATGTCATTTAGCATTCTAATTACCTTTAGTACGCACTATTTGAAATATGGTAGCATTTCTAAAAAAATCCTTGCCAGCTGCTGCAACTTGGCGAGAATCGCTTATAACAAATATGAATGTCGTTTACACCAATAGAAAAAATAAATAGACTATAACCCGTTCCTTACCGTTAAAATATAACCCGTTCCTTACCGTTAAAAATTCTGGACTATGGGCTTTAGTACTGGTCAACAATAAAATGGATTTTACTTAAAAGAATGGATGAATGAATAAATAAATAAATAAATAAATAAATAAATAAATAAATAAATAAATAAATAAATAAATAAATAAATAAATAAATTAATTAATTAATAAATTAATAAATAAATAAATAAATAAATAAATAAATTTGTGTTTGAAATGTTAATACTTTTAAGGTCATATGTTACTTTAACGTTCAATTACGGCTTCAATGGCAATTAAAAACCGTTATATGAATCATCATGCTATAACTATTTAATGAAGTTTCTTTGTGCAGTACACACGCCTTTGCGACTCCATGCAAAAAGGTATTGCACAGTCGTGCATATGTTTATATTTGTACTGTAAACGTTCTTATTTTTGCGTCTTTACTCTATGTTATATCACGCAATTGTCGTCATGTCAAAATAAACGGCCCTGTAATATTATTTTTACTGAGTCGTAAAAGTGACTCGGATGTGTGATAATTAGAATATATTGAATGTGTATAAGTTCAATACTGAATTTATTTACGGAGTTGAGTAAATAAATATTATGCGCATCATAATATTTTATTTAACGAGTTATTCCATTTATCGTAACAGTTTGCAATAGAAATATTTTCCTCATATGGCGCACTTTTACGCTGTATGTATAACGTCACGTTGAATTATATGCACGGCCTAGCCCAACAAATTGTGCGCTTTACTGTAGGGCTTTTTATTATATAGACCATGGTCGCCCTTCGCGACAGACTTCTATATGTAATATCATATTGTAAAATGGGTCGGTCTTGCAGCCGAAATATTGAGACTCGTGCACGGCCGTGCAATACTATCTTTACGGAGTTGCAAAAGCGGCACGGGTATGTGAATGTAAATGAAAGATATTTGTTTGTTGTGTGTTGACGAGTTTACTTATACTGACCGGCGGAATCAACCATAAGGGCACTTGCTGGTCCAATCATCGTAACCTCTTCAGCGGCATCTTTTCATGCTGAATCTTACAGTACGGTTGAAGCAAAGGAAAAGATGTACAACAGTAATTTACGCAAAATGTAATTTAAGTTTGTAGTCATTATTGCGGAGTAACTTGTTATTTGAATCAAGAAATAAACTCTTTAAGATCATGACTGGTGACATCTCCGAGGTCCGTACTGTGCCTTAACGGGCGGATGGACCCTCATTTACTGTGGGCGACACAGAATTAAAACCCAGTATCTCACTGGTTAGCATAAAAACATACTTAACAGTTATAAATATCAGTTACGTGTGTGACGATTCACGTATTAACTTAAGAAAAGCGGCCGAAGTATTCTAATTTTATGTTTCGCTTTGTTCATAAATCTTACAGCGTGTGTAAAGGAAATGAATAACAATACAGTACGTATTATATATGTATTTACATATAGGAACTCCCATTTCTTGTATCATTGTATGATTTGAAACGGTTTATTTACCATTGCAAACATAATGAATAAGGAAGTAATCTAGCGTGGGCACGTGCGTAACTAAGTGTATGATTAATTAAACGGTTATTTGACTGTACAATAAGATATACTTTATCATTCAATATTCCACAAACGTTTATTATCAGGGGAAAAACAATGGTCTATTTTTAAATGTTACTTCATTAAACGATACAAAGATTGCTGAGCGTATTTTGTGATAGTTATCTATTAATAAGCGGTAAATAATAAATAGTTGTAAGTAGATGGATAACAACGGCATAAAAAGGTAATAATCTTTAATGAAACTTTCCAGTTCATATATTTTGATTGTATTTGGAAGAGTATACATATAGTTTCTTAATTAACCTGAATTTAACTTCGTACGTTTTTATTTTTTTTTATATATTAAAACCGATTGTACGGACAAAAAAATGAACATAATTAATGAAAAATTAAATCGATTATTAATAAAAATGAAAATATCTGTGATGTTTATCATGAAAATCCCTGACATCGCATTTTCTTCATTTTCTTTATTTTAAAAAGGAATATAACATAGATATTGTACTGGGAAGGAGTGCAGTGGCACCTATACTGAAAGTGAAAGTAGAAAGTGAAAGCGAAAGTAGAAATCGGAAAATGATTGTTTATTAGAAACCGGAAAATGATCGTTTATTAAAATATGCAAAAAAAGGGGCGGGGCGTATTTGACACGTTATCTAGTATTCCTACAGTCAAACTGTTGGGAAAACATCATCCCTGCTAATGTCTCTTTGACAAGTCCAACAAATTCGCAAAAGTAATAAGAAAATAAAAACTAATTTTCTTCCTAAGATTTTTTTATTCAGTTTTATTACAATTATCTTTATTATCATTTACTCAAACATGCTATCAACAGTTAAAGCAATTATCCATCAAGAATACTGTAAAGTCAGTAAACAAACACGTATATATTATATATTCAAAATATTTTACATGGAAAGTAAGGCATAATAAACTTGTACATGTATCAGTTTTCTACAAGCTATCACTATAATAATATCATTGGAATCACTGCACCAGCCATTTGGGAACCCTATACATTTAGGGCCTATTAATTCTATCTACATGTACAGGGAACTGAGGCACTCAGGTTGGGAATTTTCACCTCATTTTTTTAAAAAAGGGGGAAGGTCAAATAATACATATAATTTATTTTGCAAAAAAAAAAATCATTATGATATTGTTGAGGGCAGTTCAAAAATAAGTTTTTGTAGGAGATTTAAAAAATAAAACTTTTAAGGGGTGGGGATAGGGGTATGCTAAATGGGATGAAGTTTGTGATATGAAGGCTCTGTCATCACGCAAATCTTAAACCAGATGAGTTCAGGAGAAATCAGCCGTTGTATTTTCACACTATCCCAGCAAATGGATCTTGGGTTCGAGATGTATGGTCATGACCATATTTTCTCATATGACACCAGTACTGGTTAGTAACAGGAAGCAAACCAAAAAGCAGTTCAAATCAGCTCCAAACATTTATCACAATTAAGCTAAATTCAACAATGTACATATGTTTAACTTTAATGAAATACTACTCGGTGAATAGGATGTTTTTATTTTACTGCCAAATATACTTAGTAGGTGAGTTATAATGCCCTGGCAAGAGCTAAATAGAGAAGGCAATATGACAACTAAAACAGAGAAAGCAATTTGACAAGCATTGTACCACTTGGCAGAGGGTGTTGTGATTTTGATTAAGTATCTGATGGTCTCAGTCAAAGTCCCTGTAGATGAGGTAGATAAGAAGAGGCTATCAATGTCTGAGGCTATCAATGACTGGTGCATGAACAAACATTGAAACCTTTCGGATATATCCCTTTGAAATATAAATAAGACAAAGACTTTGCTGTTCCCCTTCAAGAGATCAAGAAAAATCACCTTTAAACATGTTTAAATATAAAAATAACAATGAACTTTTGTTACATGGCAGTTATTGGCAAAGTTTTTATTGCTAACTAATTTCATATATAGTCCTGAACTTGTCAACTCTGTTGTATAAGGAATTCCTTATATCTCTCATCTAAAGAATCTTCCATGATGGATATACTCTGGAAATAGAAATAAATTTACAGTTCATATTTTTTTTAGAAGTTAGAGATAGAGATGTATAAATGTTTATATACATTTTCATAGATACAGCCTTATTGTTATGATATTTTATTCTATTAAAGCTAGATACATATAGACAAATCAGAATAATAAGCATCAATGAAATTTAAGTAATGCTAATTCTTTGGTAACCAGGGTAACCTCCCTCCTCAAAAAGCATTTAGTACAGTCAGATTATACTGCCAGAATTTTAAAGCAGTGCTTAATTCCTAATGTGGCTAAATGTATGCAAAAATGCCTGAAATGACGACTCCACCCATCATTCCAATGAGATAAACATTAGACCAAAGCAAAATACACATCCTTCAAGTGGTTTGAAAGAGAGCAGACAGTTAAAGCGCAAGGCTAAAAGCTTATGAGTGCCAATACAAAATTTCCAAGCCCACACTTGTGACCCTTTCAGACCCTCTGACCTTGAATCAGGGCACCCGAAGTCTGGCAACTACTCCTCTCAAAACCATGAATATTTTACTCAAGTATAATATATATGCCTCATTGTTCAAGCCTTCAAATGTGAGACTCACATAGTGACCTTGACTTGGAGGCATGGCATCTGAAAAGTGGGTTTTGCTTTGTTTTGTTTGGTTTTACAGCACACAAACACAATTTAGGTCATATGGTGCCAAAACAAGAAAGGTGATTTTGGCTGTGTGAAACAAATTTGCTGGCTAAAATAATTTACCTTGAACTTTTATCTTGACCTTGAATAGAGGAGTTCTGAGTTTTGTGTCAATGAGATAACCATTTCATGCAACTATCATTAAAATCCCTCAAGAAGTTCAAAAGATGTAGAATTGACACAAAAAATACCTGGTGTTAATCTTTTCCATTTAACTGTGATCTTGACCAATAAATGAGGCAACTGGCAATCTGGTTTCTACATGCTGTCTCAGCGAAATAAACATTTGACCTAACTATCATGAAATTCTTTTAGAAGGATCAAAAGATATGTAAAGAAGACCCACAATATTTCTTAGTTGAGACAGCAAGACAGACAGATGTATTAATATATCCTAATAATACACATCCGTTGAGAAACAAACAACAAGACATGTTATAATTATGTTCCTTACCCTTTTAACCCCTGAGTGAAGAAAACTTTCAGCAAACATTTCTATTACTCTTCCGAAAGGCCCTATTCCATGAACATCTATACTTCCATGTTGCTCAAATATTGTCCTAAAATAATGACCATAACAATTATATCTAAACTTACATTTACTGAAATGGTTATTTATTGTATATTAATTACTTGATATTACAGAACACTGAAGCCTATTACTGATCTTTGGACTTTTCTTTAAACAAGAGGGCCATGATGGCCCTGAGGTCGCTCACCTGTATATAGGCCCCCACCCCCCCCACAACGTTGCAGGGCCAATTTTAACCCAAGGGCTTTTATTTGCACAAACTTGGTAGACACCCATAAGAAGATGTTTCATGCTAAACATCTAAGCTCTAGCTCATTGGGCTTTTTAAAAGAAGACTTTTTAAGTTTTTACTATATGCATATAGGGAAAATCAATGACCCCCCGGGGCGGGGCTAATTTTGACCCCAGAGCTTTTATTTGAACAAACTTGGAAGACACCCATTAGAACATGTTTCATGCTAGATATCTTAGCTCTAGCTCTTTGGTTTTTTTAAAAGAAGACTTTTTAAGTTTTTACTATATGCATATAGGGAAAATCAATGACCCCCTGGGGCGGGGCCAATTTTGACCCCAGGGCTTTTATTTGAACAAACTTGGTAGACACTTATTAGAACATGTTTCATGCTAAATATCTTTGCTCTAACTCTTTGGGTTCTTTAAAAGGAGACTTTTTAAGTTTTAACTATATATGCATATAGGGAAAATCAATGACCCCCTGGGGCGGGGCCAATTTTGACCCCAGGGCTTTTATTTGAACAAACTTGGTAGACACTCATTAGAACATGTTTGATGCTCAATATCTTAGAAATAGCTCTTTGAGTTCTTTAAAGGAAGATTTTTTAAGTTTTTACTATATGCATATAGGAAAATCAATGACCCCCCGGGGCGGGGCCAATTTTGACCCCAGGGCTTTTATTTGAACAAACTTGGTAGACACCCATTAGAACATGTTTTCAATGCTAAAATATCTTAGCTCTAGCTCTTTGGGTTCTTTTAAAAGAAGATTTTTTTAGTTTTTACTATATGCATATAGGGAAAATCAATGACCCCCTGGGGCGGGGCCAATTTTGACCCCAGGGCTTTTATTTGAACAAAACTTGGTAGACACTCACTAGAAGATGTTTCATGCCAAATATCTAAGCTCTAGCTCTTATGGTTTTTTAAAAGAAGATATTTGAAGTTTTTCTTTCGGTTGCCATGGCAACCAGAGTTCTGCATGGAATTAAATTCTTTGAACAATTTTTAAAGGTGACCACCAAAGGAACATTCCTGTGAAGTTTGGATGAAATTGGCTTAGTGGTTTATGAGGAGATGTCATTTAAAGTAAAAGTTTACGGACGGACGACGGACGGACGGACGCCGGACGAAAAGCGATCACAAAAGCTCACCCTGTCACTTTGTGACAGGTGAGCTAAAAAAAGTGACAATGAAAAAATACCCAAAGGAAATAATTCGGACAAAAAGTAGGAGAAAAACACACTTGAGGACTGACATTTTTATCAGTTACATGTACTTATTACTATAATGTACTTCAGAAGATATGTGCACTGAAAAATTAAGTAAATGGCAGTTTCAACCAAAAGTTATATGCCTTTCTTGTTCAGGAGATATACATAAAAAAGTTTTACAAACCATGCTGGATTTTCATCATGACTCCGAAATACTGATTTCTCCCAAAGGTTTGCATATTTACACCATGTCAGATTACGGCTTTTCAAATGTAACTGTTTTCTTCTGACATTGAACCATGATTCCTCCTCTAGAAGTATAGCCTTCTCATTTAAAACTCCTATCTGAAATGTTCCAAACTATTAGATCAGCATAGCAAAACTATGTCATAAATTTAGCAAACTAATTATGGTATATTCTTTAGACTTTACTAAGGAAAACATTTTACATGTCATTTCAATTATGAAATTTTATTTCTTTGTAACTAAAAACAAGGCATTTTATAAGTTTTTTTTTTTGTAAAGGCTTGAAGTAATAAATCTCATTTATCATTTTATAAGTCTTAATGACTATAAAGCCAAATTGCATTGTAAATATGATATATACACCACCAGAGATATAGATAACATCTCTGCCACCACTGACTATGCTAGAAGTATAAGGCAAGCTTTCAACATTTGCATACAATCTTTGTGAAGAGAAATAAAGCTATTCCTAATATGTTCATAAAGTTTTAATCAACAATAAAACTTCATGTATATTGTCTCTATAATTTTATGGTTGATTCTCCAGAGACTTGTATATCAAATGCCTTTGTTTTTTTTAACACACATGAATATCATACGTATAAAAAGAATAAAAAGTTCTGCAAAACAAAATATCACACTGCTGTTAAGCAATGATTTCATGCATGCCCAATTTGCTTTCAATGCAATAATATACCACCATATTTCTTTCATACAAGCATTTTGGAAGTTAGTATTCTTTTTTAAGTTCAAACAATAATCTTTTCAACTGATATATAGATTTATACACATGAAGACAATTATCAATAAACTTTTCACAATTTTGTTTTTTTGTTAATTATTTTTTCATGAACTCACCTTGCGGAGTAATTTTGGTATAACATTTTCACAGATTGCAATACTTTTTCTGTAGTTAATGCCATCAGAATCTTACATGAAAAGCAAAATAAAAATATTACGCAAAATACAAAAATAAATGATAAATCTCTTCTAAAAGACTAAATCAAAATCTAAATTTAAGGGTAACGTATATATGTCATATAAATGCACTCATTAGAAATTAACAAAAAAAAAAATGAAACACAAAATGAAACTTAATCAAGTTCTTTGTAAAATTCTTGTTAATCTGACCTCAAATAAGTTTGTATAATACTATATTTTTTTCCTCAAGTTTTCAATTTTGAAGCTCCAAAGATTGATACTTAGTTACCTGTTTTCTCTTCAATGACATCTATTCTTTTGACAAATTTTTCTTTCTCTGTGGGATACTGTAAAATAAATAATAAAATATGACTACATATAAATTGTATTGTAACAACAATTATATTTCTATGACTTTTAGATACACACAATCACTAATACAAGTATGTATTCTTAATAACTTTGTAATAAAGTTTATAAATTATATACCTAGGGATATCTATATCCTTAATTTTATATCTTAAATCACATTCAATCTAAAATGCCTTATTAAAAGATTGGGAGGAGGGAACAAGACATCAAAACACCAGGTTGGCTTATGTTTTAATATAACTACCAGTTTCGAGTACTATATACCTTCTTCAGGTTTTATTGTAAAAAAATGACATAGACATTCTTTTGGGCACATCATTGACTGTCATATATCTGTAAACAGCTTTTTACATACACTTTTAGCAACATTTGACATTTTGACGGAATGGTTCATTTTGCTTATTGAGAGACTCCACAAGAATCAGAGAATTACACAATATATTTTTCATTTGACATAATTTCTTGCAAGTCTTAATCAGTACATATATGGCACAAAATCAAAATTATTTTTCACCCCCACATTACAGGGGATACAGTGATACAAGGGTTACACAAGGTTACAATGGGATACAATGAATTTCCATCAACAGGGGTGAAAAAGAATTGTGTTTTTAGGACATATTTAAATCAGTATACTGATAGATCTAATGGGATGTTGGCAACTTTCACCAGATAGGAATGCTCTTCCACTGACATAAATAAAAATGCTCAACAGGTTGCATCTTTGAAACCAGTCCTCTCTTTCTAAAAATTAGAAAGACCCTGAACAGATCAACCCAGTTTTTAACTAACATGTCAACATGTAAAATATTGATCATCATAAAGTTCATTTGTACACTACATTTTTAAATCATCTTAACTGCAAACTTTAGTGAAATGCGTGTGTGCAACAAGCTCCAGAGGATATTTATATACATGTTGAATATCTATTGTCACAACCATAATCCTTTCTAACTTACAGTTACATAATCTAACCGACCTCCCCTTTCACCAGGCGCTCTTTAAGAACAGTGTGTAAATGCGTTTTATTTACTCATGATTAAAATTTGCCTCAAAATTGTTTTTCAAATTAGAGAGTAGTTTTGACTGGTTCTCTTTTATTTTACTATACACAGACGTAGCTCGAAAATTCATTTGCGAACCGCTCTACAAAAATCCAAAATGGAGTCATTGTGAATTTTCCGAGAATTTGAATAGAAACAAATAGATCCTGTTATGTCAAAAGAGTAGTTTTTGTACGTGTTCACATATTTTTATATTCAAAAACAGTCACGAAACGGTGGGCAGTCTTTTAAAGTCATTTTCTCCATTGTTTAGTTCTGGCAGTCGCTTCCAAAACTTTTCAAGTTTTTTCATTTTTTTTTTACAGTGTTCTAAACTTCTAAACATTTTTTATTTCTTCTGAGCGGGAGGAAAGTTTTGGAATAGACTCGTTATGAGTCGTTATATGAAACCATACCAGATCAATCTGATATTATTGTTACCCCCCCCCCCCCCAGTCCCTAAAAACGGCTTACAGACACTTCACCCCCAAGACACTTTACCCTAAACACTCCCCCCCTCAGACAGTTCACCCCTCATTTTAAGAAATTTGATTGAGACACTTCACCCCTCATTTTTTTTATTTTGTGTTTAACAATTATTTATGTAGATTATGTTAAATACATTCAACAGTTCAATAGTGATTATGTTTATTGTTTTAACATATTTTAATATGAAATTAGGTGCTACCTATGGCGCGAAAAGCTCTTATGATTTAAGCATAACATGTTTAGTGTACATGTTAACCAGATCTATCATGCAATTAGTAAATAAGTAAATGCAGGTATTTTGTACCATACTGGCATGCGAGCAGTTCCCGTACAGAAGCAGTACCCGTATTTTTCATTTAAACGCTTGATTTTTACTTGCATTCTTCAAAAATTCATTTCAAATCAAGCAGATACATAAACGAGACAAAATCTAAGTGTCAGTTCGGCAGTACGTATATAAAGTCTCATTTTAAATCACTTTCACCTGTGCGTCGTCAAAACGTGACCTTGTTTTCTCTGGGGGATTCCGTCCTTGCGCGCATGCGCAAAAATACTTACACGTGAGGCTTGTTAAAGGGTTTTCCACTAATACCACCTGTTTACAAATAAGTAGGCAATGTGATGTATACTTGTTTAATTATCAGAATGTTGACCAATATTACAATATATAATACTTTTATGGCTTTGATGCGTAAAATATCATGCATACAAGCATGCTATTGCATGTGAATGCGTTGGGGTAACGGTACCGGGTAATTGATACCCGCGTTTAGTCTACGCTCTATTTCCTGAATTACATCTATTTATCTCTTACATAATGGTCTGTTCAACAATTGTAAATGAAAAATAGGTCCGATATAATAAAATTGTATAATTATAATGGGTTAGATTTTATGTACGGGAACTACTTCTCTTCATACAAAATAATGGATAATTTCGGTACCCCATATGAGGCCTCATAAGTAAGGGTTATACTATGTTTAGAACATGATGGAATTTCCATGATTTGTGTGACGAGCTGAATATTGATGTGTAACATTCAAATTTTGGTGAGTGAGCGTAATAAAAAATAATGTTTAAGTAACTATGAGTTTTGTACGGGAACTGCTCGCATGCCAGTAAACAGAAACAAATAAATTGGTGGTGTTCAACCTATCATCGGAAGAGGGATCACTGCGCACGCGTCTGCGTTTGGAAAATCCCATCCGCCATTTTCTGTTAATCTTTAATCACATATGTTGTTTTTACGTTATTTTTAATGTGCTAATTTATCAAAAAGGATTTGAAAGTAACTTTTTACATTTATCATCGTTACTATAGGTCTTATGAATGAAATGAATGTTTATTTTCTGATTTTGTGCATCATTCTTTCACCGGAAGTGTTATTAAGCATGCGTCTGCTAGCAATAGTCTGAATTATGTAGACGCTCATTAAAAGCGCTGTGATATCTATATTAGTTCAAAAGGATTTCAAAATGGCGGCGCCCAGTTAACTTAGGATTTTTTCACAGCTCATTAGGTATAGGATATATATTTTTTTAAATTTTCATTTACTTTTAATTTGATTTCATTTGAATTGATACGCGTCATACACATTATCTAAAAGCGCTACGGCCCTCGCGGGGCCTTTGGCCCCGCTCGGACTTTCCGCGTATTAAAAAACTATTATTATTTTATCATGTAACTCATTACTGACAATTTTTAAGACAATGGATATATTGTTGTTTTTGCCCTACAAAAAAAGGCTCATATCACAAAGTTAATAGTATAAAGTATTTTTGTTTATTTTTTATATATTTTATACTAATTTCATTTAAAGTAAAAGTGATATAACTAATTGAATAATCTTTCTAGTGAAATAATACTAAAAATAATTAATATAAACATATATAAGCATTTTGTTGTTGACTAACTTGTTTTATTTTCGTTATAGAAAAAAAATTGGATGAAGGGTGAAGTGTCTTACTGATTTTGGGGGGTGAAGTGTCTTAAGGGGTGAAATGTCTTCTAAATTTGAGGGCTGAAGTGTCTGGGGGGTGAGGTGTCTTGCTTCCATAAAAACATCTCAGAACCAGTTCAATGTAATATGAAATTAGGCAAAGCCTATGAACGGGGAAGTCGTTAAAAATAATTCCTTTCATTTTTTCCGTTTTAAAGGTGTCATTCAGTATTTCATGCACCGCTTCAGTTTTCACTCGGAACACTCGACGAATATTATGTATGCGAAAAGTTGAGATTTGTTCTGTAATCAGAATACCCTGTCTATTATCATTGAGTTACATTGTAAATGGCTGCGCCCGACTAGAATTTACACTGAAAATTTTATTGATAGGTATAGAATTCTATATATTTAATTGTTTTTTTACTTGATTTTCTTTTAAAATATACACATCATACGTAACACATGTAGTCTATAGCCGGGCAAGCCAAAGCCAAGGGCTTGCGAATACTTCCCCGTATTAGACAGTTAAACTTTACATGCTTGTTAATGTTATAGTTTATGTCGGTCAAGCCTGACCCAGAAGCAAAAATATCTCAAAGCGACGTCATATTTATAGGGCAACTCGTAATCTAGCTTTGGCTCATCAATATATTTTGACTACACATTCCGTCGTTTGTCTGTTCAAATTGTTAAAATAATAACAAAATTAAAGTTTTAACCTGTAGGTTATCATCATTTTCAAATTATCAAGGAGTTAAAATAGAAGGGCCACAATATAATTTTAATTTAGTATTTAGCTGTTTAGGGGCCTGCAGCCTTTTTCTTGAGGCAAACAAGCACAATTTTCGCTTATTTGAGGAAACCAAGCTAGGAAAAAAGGAATAGATTTATTAAAATAAGTGTTATTAAAGTGGCCATCAGCTTTTTTAAAGATTAAATATATGTATTTACAATGTAGATGAATCCTTTCATTTTATGATTTAATTGTCATATCAAAAGAATTTAGGTGGAAACTAAAATTTAATGAGTGACGATAAAATACATAAACAATAAGAAACCCCTTCATATCTCTAATCTACTGGTCTCCTCTTTATTTTGAATGACCGGTATCTAGAACTTTAGAATTAGGGCTTGTCTGTCATTTAATGGAAGGTTACATTCCAGAAAATAGCATTGTGTCGAGTATTAACAATGGATTGTTCCAAATTAATACCTGGGCAAGTCCATTAGTACAATTACATTACTGTAGGACTATTTATTTTTATTTTTCATTTCAGCCAAAATTTAAAGATGGCTTCAGTTTTAAACACAAATAAAGTGGAAGTGAATGATGAAGAAAAATTGAATCTTAAAAATTTTTTAAACGAAAGACAGCATCCTGATCCTACAAGAGATAGAATCGTACAGGATTCTAAAGAAAAATACAGTCAGAGTAGACAGAATTCTGCTGATGCAAGTAATCTCAGTAGGAGTCAGAAAGAACGCAAGCTTGATGATTTCCTTAAAAATAAGCGGAGAAGAAGAAGAGGAAAGAAGAGATTAACTATTTCTGATGTAAGGGCAGAGGCAGCAAAAATTTTAGAAGAATTTTTACAGGAGCAACTTGCTCAACAGGCAATACAAACAAGTTCACCAGAATATCAGAGAATAGTTGAGCTGAGTGTTTTTGAGACAACAACTCCAAGTGGGGAAAGTTCTAGTTGTCTAGCATCAAGTAGCAACATTTTACGGGAAGATTCAATACCGTATGCTGATGAAAGCGATAATGAATTAAGAAAAGCAGAAAGTCTGCCTCATGAAAACTTTGTTGAATTACAGGGTTTTGGTGGTAAAGAAATTCCAGCAGGATTACAAATTCATCATGAGAAATCTAAATCTGCCCCCTTTAGTCAGCCCGACAATGAATGGCGTCAGAGTCCTAGTAAGAGGTTACCGGGCTCTGTTCAACCAACTCCGCCTGCTCCGCCCGGTACACCTCATACACCATCTGAAAATAGTTCAAATGGAAGTGGGTCATTGTCACATCCAGTGCCTTACACTGGGAAACCAAATGATTCCAGTATACCTTGCTCAAGTGATTCTTTAGATACAAATAATAGTCTTGAAAAACCACATTCCAGACCAAAAAGGTCCATCCCTGAAGTAGCACCACACACATTGAATCTTTCTGGTCTGTCTGAACCTCAGAGTCGATCTACAACAGTAAATGATGATGATGATGATGATGATAAAACAAGCAGTACATCTCCAACAAAATATCCATACACAAAATCACCACGTAGAGTAAAGAAATCAGGATCAGTATCCTCTAGTGATACAGACAGCACTGATCAACAGATGTATGGAAGAAAGAAGAAATCTATGTTTAAAAAGGCTCAACACAGAATGCAAAATTTCTTTAGAAATAAAAAACAGAAAGCACATGATGGTGATGATGAGATGGAATATCATAATGATGAAAGTCCGAGAGGGAGTTTAAATGAAAAAAGGACAAGACCTAAGAAATCCTCTAAAAAGCATGATAAAGGAAATTACGATACCACCGATATGGTGGATATGGCAGATAACTACGTACCTCAAGGTAATGAGACTGTCCTAGAAGAGAGACATATCCATAGAAATAAACATATACATCAAACACATAGTGGCAGTGACAGAAAAACTGTTCTACGAAGCGAAGTGTCCGAGGAGACTATAGATGTTGTTGACAAGAAAGAGAAAAAACATACAGAGAAAAAATGGAAGATGAAAGAAAGCTCAGGACAAGATACGGGACTATTCGGAAAGCTTAAACGCCTTACTCTCCGTGATAAAAGAAAACGCAGCATAAAAGGTAAAATATTTAGTTCAAGTGTTAAAGATCGGAATTGAAAATTCAATGAAAAAGGAGATAATGATAAAATATTTTAAAAAAAACACACAAAAAAAAGAAACAATATTGATTTTTTTTTTCTAACAATTTCTTACTGTTTAAAGATTTAAACCTCAGAAAATGAGAACTGAAACTAAATTGTTTTAAGTAATGACAATCTTAAACTAAAAGGGTAAATTTTTTATGGAAAGATAATTTTAATTGTGAAAAAGTATTTTTAGCATTATTGTGCTGAAATGATTGAATAATAGCTCTGGCATGTTTCCTTTTAAATGGCATAAAGAGAGTGCTGCTATTGAAATTCTTACTACCCTGCTTCCACCTACAGGTTATAATGGATTATGGGAATGCAAGCCTTATTGAAAGTTTCCTGTAATGTTGATGTTTATTTTATTCATTAAATTGCAGTAGTATTGAACTTATACTTACATGTACTTTACAGAAAGCTCTTTGGCATGCTATTTTAGTGAAACATTCTATTAGTAAGTTCCCTTTGAAAATTTTACAGAATCAAAATCTGATAATTTTGGACAAGACGCGGCAGACAGTGGATATTACTCACGGACGCTATCAGTACCCGGAGGCGCTCACCCACTTAGACCTAACCAGTTGGGATTGGATGAAACAGACGATGCGGGCTTGACGATGTATCCAAACGGTCGAGGATTTGCCTTTTCTAACTTTGAGAGAGAAGAGAGGCGACCTGGTGTGACGTATACAAGAGCAAGTCAGGTAAGATGTTACGATACATATTTAGTATTGATGAGTGAATAAGTAAATTGTGTAGCATTATAATCTTTAGAAAATAAATGAGATTTAAAAAAAAAAACACATGGTTTCTTTTGTTGATGCAGGTGTTACCATGTATTGAAAGGAATGAAGGATAGTCTTATTGTTAAATGAAGCTTTTATCTAAGTTATGAGGGCTTTGTTTTATAAAGGATATTGTTTAAAGGTAATACACAGGCACATAAATTACAAAAATATAATAATGATTTAATGTTATTTTCACTCTAAAATGACATTTTTAAAAGTCCCAGCAGGCATTTCTGTATCAGTTCTATATATTTTGGGTTTGAAGCATGAATATATCTAGATATATTGAACGAAATTTAGACGCCGACAGAATCACCGAGTAGTTTTAAAACAAGCCATGTGACTTAACAAACCAAGGGAGTTACACTAACAGATATTGTGGATATTGTATGATTGAAATAAATCTAAGTCATTCATTTGACATGTTCCTGAACGTTTTCATAGTTCTTTATGGCAACTATTGTGAAATCTTCAAGCCCTAACCTGACTCACGTGGGTCAAGTTAGGAAATCACTATTTTATTCTCTGTCAGGTGCAATTTTGCCTGTGTCTCCCTTTAAACAAAACTTAAAATGGCTGTATAATTCAAATACATCCAACATGACAGACACATTGTGAAACAAAATTTGCAAAACTGAGATTTCTTTTAAATATCATTTAGATATACAACAATGTACTCTGTAAATAAAGAAAAGAAATGATTAGTTTTGCTTTAATAGTTGAGCATAATATTTGTCAAGATTTTGTATAGGAACAAAAGTGTAGAATATTTTATATATCTTCTGTAATTTAAGGATCAGGCTTCAGATCTGGTAATTTTATTAAAGCAGCACACCTCCCAGATTTGTGAAATTTATTTATTATGAAAAGCGTAAATTGTTCAAATGAGTAAATATGCTGTGAGGTTTACATAATAAGTCATTTGATATATGGTTAGGCACAGATATTGTAACTTGTCAAAATACATGTATGCACAGACTTCACTTACTTCAAAGTGGTAATTTAAAGATATATTATGCTCTAATTTGATATCAGAATTATTGGTAATTGCTAAATAGTGTCTTTGTAAATATAAAATAAACATGTTTTGACTTCACACAAAGTAGATATGTCATGTTTAAAACTCTACACACTATAGGGGGTCACAATATGAATATATAGTGACGTTAAAAAACTGGCAGTTTTTTTAAGGAAAGACCAACTTTATTTGTCCTGAAAAAGGGAACGCGACTTCCAATACATAGATAATTCTTTTTTTTATTCAAATTAAACATATTCAGTGAGGATTTCATAGGTTTTAACAAAATGCTTTGATTAAAATATTTTACTCAAGTAAGAGCATAGTATATCTTTAATAGGTAATAGTGGTAATGCATAGAATTGTTGAAGTGATACAAAAGTAATTTCTGTCATATTGTGTGTGAAATATTCAATTGTGACTTTTTATAAATTTCTTGACTATAAATGTATTTTTCAAAAGTTTTAATTTTTTGAAGGTACATGTATATTATCACTCATCTGGAGGTGTGCACCTTTAAAGCATAAGTCTGATATGTGTGCTGTTTAATGCATGTATAAAAGTTATTAGTTCAAACTAGAACTTTTCTGCCATGGTACTTTGTTCAGTTACATGTTCTTCTTACCACTGGAAAAAGCTGAAATATTTAATTTTCTTTTATGCCTTCCTCTCCCTGACTTAACTTGATAGCCTCATCTTGCATCAAATTTTCCACTATGTTATAATGTATTATTCTGTTCAAACTTTTTTAACTCATACCTTGTTGAATATGTGCAGTATAATGGACTTTCCTTGAGACAAAGATTTAACAATTTATCACCTCTTGCGTTAAAATGCGTTAATCAGTTTGCAACCGGGTTCACTCCATACATGCTACATCTAAATCAACAGTTGCATGTAGAATTAATGCTTCATGAGACCCTATTATTGAACATTCTTTAAAAAATGCTTTCCCTGGAATCTTTTTGAAAACTTTATTTTAGTTAAAGGTCGTAAATATGGCATGGGGTCTTTTTTTTTAAATACATATACAGATTATTAAAAATGTACAGTACGTTTTGAAACTTTTATCATTGGCATAAATTAATACTCAATGACTTCAAATGAAGAATCTTTATTAATTTAGTATAATTGTAATGTTTTACACATTGTTTTCTCATCTATACAAAATATATAGCTTTTAGAGTTTCACTCTTTATAATTTTGGGATAAGGGACTTAATGAATATTGCCAAAATTTTTTATCATTATAAATATTTAGTCATGCCATTTTGTGTTTGAGCGTGTTACATAAGGGAATGGGGACTGCAGTATTGTATGGAAAAGTTAAAATAAAATTCTGCATTTCGATATTAATATTTTTTTATTCCATCCCTGCTCTAAGTTTTACAGTTTTTACAGTATTTGATTAGAATTTTTACGATCACAGGTTGTATGTAGAGAGGAAGATGATGAAAAAGACATAAAACGTCATTCCAGCCATCTTGATATAGTGGATTACAGCGGTAACATGATTGAGAGGCTATACTTTGATGCAGACGGCAATGAATTGCCGAAGAACAAGTCATTTAGTTACCTACAGGAGGAGGATGTACGAGAGCGTGTCATAGATGATCATGGTCGTAGGAGAGTTGTACGAGACGTTAAACATCATGAGCACATGGAAATGGCAGAATCTGATGGAGGTATTTATGGGATTTGGTTGTAAAACTTTGTGATAAGTGTCATAATTGTTTATATTTAGTGACGAATTTTCACCTATATGAGTTCAAACCAAGTCAGGGGCTAGCCATTTTGTTTAACATTAGTTTAAACATGTTTTATTTCTCAGAATATATATACATGTTACAATTTATAATATACACAAAGCAGTTCAAATATTCTTAAAAAACAGGATTAGGTCTTATGAAATTTATCTCCTTAAATTTAAAATTGATTGGTTAGTAATGGTTTGTTCCAGGAACAAATTTATGAATTTGTGTATTCAAGCTTAAAGCATCTCACACAATGGAACTGAAAGTAAATTCTGAATAAATTTCATGTTTAATATCTGAAGGGCCTCAATAAGATATTTTACTGGTTGTTTTCTATATACATACATGAAAAACCATCAAAGAAATAGAAAAAAAAGATTATAACTGCTCAAACATGAATATAGGTATATTAGAGAGTATTAAACTGTATCTAATGAAATATATAACAGTATAATTATATTGTTTCCCTACTCTTACGGTTGATTCTGAATAGAGTTGTAACGTAGAATGTCTCAGTTATTTAATACTCATGCACAATGTATGTGAACAGAATAAACAAAATATTATGCTGCTATTGACAGTAGGATTTTAACTGTTTATCAATGATTCCATGCATGTGCCATTTGCTTCTAAGGAAATACACAAACATATCTCTTTCATACTCTTTTAAAATTCATACAATTATTTTGTAAACTGCGGGCCGCAGATATTATATGTTATTTTGGTTTTGGAGTGATATATGTGGATATATTACCTGTTAAGATTTTATATCACCCGAGCCGTTAGGCGAGGGTGATATTTTATCTTGGCAGGTAATATATCCACATATATCACTCCAAAACCAAAATAATAATTTTATTACCCTTCCCGTGCCGAGTTAAGACGATTTTAAAATAAATAATTGCTACTTCAAATGAAACGTCGAAATAAGATTCCCTTTAGGATACCCCTTCACCATAACATGACGTCACAAATACATGACGTATTATCTTTCGAACATAACGGATGTAAACAAGAGAAAAGGAGTAGTCTGTTGAATGCACTTTTTTGGAATTAATATCAAGCTTTCACAAGGTCATATTTGTTTCCTATACTGACGAGAATATGTATCATTACTCTATTTTGGTAAATATTTATCACTTGACAGTTTAAAATTGCTTGTAAATTGGAATTTATATCGCGTAAAATCAAACGGTACGCGCATCGCACGGCGCATGTTGTTTACAACGTGGGGTACCCATCGGGGAAATTTAATGTGTATATTACCCGTCTGGCTCGGTAATATCAATTTCTTTCGGGTGATCAACATCCAATCAAAAAGGCGGAAAAAATCTGGAAGGGTAATAAATAGCTATACAATAGCTGTATACACTTTCAAGACTGGAAAGCTGTTTGGTTAGCTCAGTAGGTAGAGCGTTGGACTGTGAATCGGGCGACCCGGGTTCGATTCACTAATGTCGAATGGTGCAGATCACTTTTGTTGTGATTGATTGAAATCCTTTCTATGGTCATTCACACTGTACCTCTGCTCTGGCATGTACAGAAGTTAGCAGTTCCTTGCGAAAGTGAAGGCAACTAGTACTAATAAACTGCTTGACAGCCTGCCCAGGAATGATGTGGTGGCTGAACTGTGCTCTGGTAAATTCAGTGTGGCTTACTGCTATGATTCAGATTAAAATCTACCAACACCACCACCATCGCAATAGACTGGACACATGATGATATTTAAAAATATTTTGAAAAACATTACAGTCAGAAAAACAGTCCAGTTTCTTAGTCAATGGATTACAGGTTGTAATGAAGCATGTGATGTAACTCTTTACTGTTTATATTTGCAGAAGATAAAAAAGACTTGGAAGACATGACTGAAGCAGAAAAGGATGAATTATATGGTAAAATAGCAAGTAGACTGGCAACTATTGGAGACAATTTAATGTCTGAAAGAGAGGACCAGTCCAGAAGTGCGTCTGCTAGTCCAAGATCTAAACTGACTGATGATCAGAAATCTAGTCCTGAACAAGAAGGTATAAGTTTAAAAGAAATCTTAATCTATTTTATATGAATATATGTGTATAAAAAATTATGTATACTGACCTTTTATACTGTCAACTTCAGATGACGTTTTATCACAGTTGACTGCAGCTGATCTTTTACCACTAAAATCTTACACTGATCTTTTACCACTGTTGCCTTCAGCTGACCTTCTACCACTGTTGCTTTTACCACTGTTGCCTTCAGTTCACCTTTTACCACTGTTGCCTATAGCTGACCTTTTACCATTGTCATCTTCAGCTGACCTTTTACCACTGTCACCTTTAGCTCACCCTTTACCACTGATAATATTGGTTTTGGTCTGATGGTCACAAAACTTTAACCTTGACCATAACATGGAAGTCCCTTCAAACTTCACAGGTGCATGCACCTTGATGAGCTGTACATGCTAGACCCACTTAAATGGCATGGTGTCAAAGGTCAATGTGATTCCCCTGGGGCATAGTATTCTTGCAAATGTAACACTTATTTTTATTACAAAGATTCCTTTTCATCATAAAAATACATATTTGTAGTTATATATCAATATCAAAATATTGTTTAAAAAGTGAATATCATGATACTCGTTTTATTACAGAGTTTACAAAAACCACATTAACACCATTAGAGATAGAGTTGAGAGATGAGTTAAGAAAAGTTGCTGATGATATGGATGCAATGGTAAGTTTTGTGTGGACCTAGCAAGTCTTAACAGACTAGTATCAATATCTCATGCATTGCTGTTGTTGAAACATGCCAGGTTTTGTACACACCAAATTTTTGACATACTTTACAAATAAAATTACAAAATAAATGTATGTGTTTAGAAAACATTGTTGCTTTAGAAAAGTCATCAGCATGTCTTGTAACTATAATTAATCAATTCAATAATATTATTTTTGCCTGAATATAAAGTATTAAAACATATGGAGGAGTCAACAAGACCTTTACATGCAACATGAATATAAAGTACATGTAGTTAAAGTTAATTTATTTTTGTTATGCAACTATTCTTTTAATCTACATTAAAATACACAGAAAGTTGACACTTAAAATTGCTGTTCAGTTTTTAGAGGATTTTTTAATGCATATTTAGCATTAGTAGCCATAGAAAATTGTCCGGTTTTCGTTATTCAGAGGTTCCTGTATTTAGAGGATTTTTATGCTCCCCGAAAAATTTCGGTGGAGCATATAGTCGGCGCCTTGTCCGTCTGTCCGTCCTTCCGCACTCACAGGAGAGTAATTATGTGGCTAGAGGGACAATAGGTAACTGTTCTTTATCTTTGATGTCATTCATTCCGTAATGCTTTTATGTGGCTAATTTCTTTTGTGTGGCTAAAAAGAACAATAGAGAGAACAATAGAGTAGCCACATAGTTACTGTCCTGTGAGAACGTCCGTCTGTCCGTCCTTCCGTCTGTCCGTCCATTGTCTTATCCGGAGCATAACTTGAAAACCCTTGGAGATAATTTGTTGAAACTTCATACAGTGGTAGAGGGCATTGAGGGGGAGTGCAGTGTCAAAGAACCATAACTCTATTTGCCCGGTTTTTGAATTATCTCCCCTTATAGAAAAATCTTGTCCGGGGCATAACTCTTAAACTATAGAGATATCAACATGAAACTTTGTAGGTGAATAGATCTCAATGGGTAGATGTGCAGTGCATAAGAACAATAACTCTTTTTGTCCTAATTTTGGAGTTATTGCCCTTTGTTTATTTTAACACTTTGAACTTTGTCCGGTACATAACTCTAAAAAAATAAGAGATATCAAGATGAAACATTGTAGGTAGATAGATCTCATTGAGTAGAGGTGCAGTGCAAAAGAACCATAACTCTGTTAAGCCTCATTTTTTAATTATCTTCCCTTTTAGAAAAATCTTGTCCAGGACATAGCTGTAAAACTATAAGAGATATCAACATGAAACTTTGTAGGTAGATATAACTCTGCCTTGCCTAATTCTGGAGTTATTGCCCTTTGTTTATTTTTACTTTTTGAAATTGTCCGGGACATAACTCGGAAATCATAAGAGATATCATCAAGAAACTTTGTAGGTTGATAGATCACATTGATTAGAAGTGCAGTGCAAAGAACAGTAACTCTGCCTTGCCTAATTTTGGAATTATTGCACTTTGAACTTTTTCCAGGGACATAACTCTGAAACTACAAGAGGTGTACTTTCTGTGTCCAAAACCAATTAGGGGAGCATCACCCGGCTGAAACCGGGCTCTTGTTTTTCAATAAACTTATAAGGAAAAAATACGGGACTTTTAAAATTGTCCGGTTTTCAGAATTTTTACTGTATATTTACTATATTATCATTAGTTTAGTTCAATCATATGTAAAGTCTGATCATCATTGAAACGGGCTGTAATTGTATTTGTTGAAGTGATGGGATCAGTAGATATTACTGTTATAATTTATTGTAACTATTAAAAAAAAAGATTTAGTAAGTAATGCTACAATCTTTTACCCTTGTTTTATGTTGTTGGGTAAGTTATAATCACAGATTAGTATTTATTATTATGAAGAAGATAGTTTAACTTTTTAATGAATGACATTTCAGTTGGAAGCAAATGCCAAAAAAGCAGCTCTTCATATTTCTGGTTTAGTCACGTATAACCATTTCAAGAATATAGTGCAGGAGTCAGTAGGCAAGGAACAGGGCTGGGCTCAGGTAGCCGCAGTGTTTCAGATAACTAAACGAGCGATGCGACTGGCTGGTCAGAGCGGGGCTATGGCATTACAGATAAAGGAAATGAGTTTGAAATATATAGAGGATACATTTGCCAACTGGATTGTGGGGCAAGGTGGTTGGGTAGGTATTATGTATATACATGTAATTGTAAGTGGGACTTGTATGCCTATAAAGAATATACTTACTACAGGTATTCTAAGATGATAACTACATGTATTTATAGGTAAAACAATGTCTGCATAATCAAATCAACACTAGGCCCACTAGCTCTATGATAAACTTAATGTAACATTTTTATTGTAAATTTTCATTCTTTTAATATAATTTGAAGCTGTAATGTCTAGTTGCTTCTGTGTTACAAATCTGGTTTACAAGTTAAAATAAAACTGCTGTAAGGAGTTCTTTGGTATTTAAATTTCCATATTTCAATATTTACTGAACTTGATGCATCTTAAAGAGTAAATTGTGTAAGATCTTGTGTAAGAGCAAGACAGCTAAGGTAAGGTACAAGTTTTGTGGTTTCTCTTATCATTGGTCAACATGTCAGAAATACTTGGTATTTAATCTTTGTGACCTGATATTCTATACTTTAAACCTTACTGTTATAAAATTCTATTAAATGATGTTTATATGTGTATGATAAACAAATATATATCTTATTTATTGATATTTTCAGGAGAGTATGCTGTCAGATGCTGATTCAGATACAGAATCTGAGCTTGACTGAAAGCCTGGTACCAACCCAAATTGACTGAAAACCTGATACCAACCAAACTTGACTGAAAAGTTGGTACCAACTGAGCTTGACTGAAAAGCTTGTACCAACCCAAATTGACTGAAAACCTGGTACCAACCAAACTCAACTGAAAACCTTGTACCAACCAAACTCAACTGAAAACTTTGTACCAACCAAACTCAACTGAAAACGTTGTACCAACCAAACTCAACTGAAAACCTTGTACTAACCAAACTTGATTGAAAACCTTGTACCAACCAGGTTTGATTTCTAACCTGATACCAGTCAGTTTTGCCAAAAGAAAGAAACAACTGTTGAAAATGGTAGTTCTCTTAAGTTGATTTCAACTGACTTCTTCCAATTGTTGATTCAGTCTGGCTTCCTTCAGCGGTTTATTCCATCAACTCTTCAGCTGTTTATTCCATCTACTCTTCAGCGGTTTATTCCATCTACTCTTCAGCGGTTTATTCCATCTACTCTTCAGCGGTTTATTCCATCTACTCTTCAGCGGTTTATTCCATCTACTCTTCAGCGGTTTATCTACTCTTCAGCGGTTTATTCCATCTACTCTTCAGTGGTTGAGTCCATCTGATCCTAGAGTCATTTGCATTAAATGCAAGTTAACATTGTGCCTCATATTTGTTGTGATGTACATTTATTGTTGTCAGATCTCAGAGTAATTAAAAAAAATTTAGATGACATTTTGTGTCTCACTAGAGATACTGTTTGTTCATTGTAAGAACTGACATCTAAAGATTTAAGGGATGTAATGATATGTAGAATTATATAATATTTGCTAGTAATATATTCAAATTATTAGCTTGTCTGTTTAGAAGAAAAGAGGAGCTATTGTGATTGCTGCATCTTCATTGTTGTCATGCAAAAACTTTTATGTAGCCCATTTCTCAAACAAATTTGAAAGTATGAAACTATGATTACTTGCTGACTGTGACAAGAGGCGGCTGTAAGACAAGGGGTTTAATTTTAAAAGCTGTATTTTTGGCCCCTTTTTAACTTTTTTGGAACGTTTGTCTAAAGTGGTAAGACGAGTGTTAACACAGCATGCAGTGCTCTTGTTTCTATTGATTCTAGTTTTCATTATATATATACATGTATATATTTAAGACTTGGGTATTTTTGTGTGTACCCAGTGATGAATAATGAAAATTCCAAATTCCAAAATATGTTAATTATTGTATTATTTGAATAAGACACTGTAAACTTTAAGCCAGCTGTCAGCAGGAAATGTTACAAAGGTTACCCATGTAATTAGTGCAAACAAAGATCAGACAGTGTATTTCTAGTTTTTTTCTACAGCCTGATCATGGTCTGCCATATTTGCTACTCAGTCTGTTCTTATTTTGAAATTTTCCCTGAAAATGGTGAATGGTTTTGTCAAGATTGAAATATGGACTAGTCCATTTAAGATATTAAGTTTTATAAGGGTTTAATGAAAGTCATTCCAGAAATAGTGTACTAAATGTAACAATGTAGTGCCATTTATATTACAAATTGATCTTGAAAATGCATCTTTTTCCATGTTTAAACACTGAACAATTTCTTTATATTATGACCCAAATACAGAAATAATTACTTTGCATAATTATATCATTTTTTTATAATTTTAATTGTAAATGCTGTATTAAAATATATTTTAAAAGTAGATTAATTTACAATGTATGTCCTTATATCAACCTGATTTTAATACTTACATTTATGGTTACATTAAGTATATACTAAGTATAAAATAAGTCATATTTATAACTCAAATATTATTTTAGGCAGCACAGTCCTTTTAGCTTAAATTGTTTTTTCCCAGTATGATATTGTACTTTAATAGTTATACATATGGTAAAACCCATTAATATTTCTTCCACATTGTTGCTTCTTCCCAATTTATGCATAATGATGTTCAGTAAGAGCAAAAATAGAAGTAAATCCATTTCAACATTTTTATGTTCATTTTAGCTGAACAATCCAAGATATGAAAGCTAAATATAACTGGAGTCATGTTTCCGGAAGAGATTATTTTCACATGTGTCTTATTTATGGAATTTTTTTAAACCTTATACTAGACACCAAATTTCATTTCTTTTATTATACCCCCACCACAAAATGTGGGGGGGGCTATAATGGATTCGCTTTGTCGCGTCGGTCCGTCCGTCGGTCGGTCGGTCGGTCGGTCCGTCGGTCCGTCTCCATTTTTGTGTCCGCTCTATAACTCCTATACCAATTGAAGGATTTTCTTCAAACTTGGCTCAAATGTTCACCTCAACAAGAGGATGTGCAGAACCCATGTTGCTCATGTGTCAGCTCAAGGTCAAGGTCACAATTGAAGGTCAAATATCAAACACAATCAAATATTAGACAGTATGTCGTGTCCGCTCTGTAAGTCCTACAATAATTGAAGGATTTTCTTCAAACTTGGCTCAAATGTTCACCTCAACAAGGGGATGTGCAGAACCCATGTTGTCTATGTGTAGGCTCAAGGTCAAGGTCACAATTGAAGGTCAAATATCAAACGATCAAATATTAGACAGTATGTCGTGTCCGCTCTGTAACTCCTACACTTATTGAAAGATTTACTTCAAACTTGGCTCAAATATTCACCTTAACAAGGGGATGTGCAGAACCTATGTTGCCAATGTGTCAGCTCAAGGTCAAGGTCACAATTGAAGGTCAAATATCAAACAATCAAATATTACACAATATGTCATGTCCGCTCTGTAAGTCCTACACTAATTGAAGGGTTTTCTTCAAACTTGGCTAAAATGTTCACCTCAACAAGGGGATGTGCAGAACTCATGTTGTCCATGTGTCAGCTCAAGGTCAAGGTCACAATTGAAGATCAAATATCAAACAAACAAATAATAGACAGTATGTCGTGTCCACTCTGTAACTCCTACACTTATTGAAAGATTTTCTTCAATCTTGGCTCAAATGTTCACCTCAACAAGGAAATGTGCAGAACCCATGTCACCGGCTTTTGCCTGCTTCAGGTCAAGGTCACACTTGAAGGTCAAAAATTGACTTAGAAAAAATTCTTAAATTTTAACATTTATATGAATATTTCTGAATCTAGAAAAGGTATTTGCTTTAAACTTAAAATATATATGAAAGGTCACAAGGAAGATATGCTGGTCAAGTTTCATAACTGTGTATTGCATTTTAACAAAGTTATGCCCCTTTTTTGAGTCTTTAAATTTACATACAATTAATACTAGACAATATGTTGTGTCCACTCTATAAATTCTTTACTAATGGAAGGATTTTCTTCAAACTTTACTCAAATGTTCACCCCAACTGGGCGATGTGCAGAATCCATCTTACCCTGGTGCCAGCTGAAAGTCAAGGCCACACTTTAAGGTCAAAAATTGACTTATAAAAAGTTTAATATTGGGAAAATGAAAGGTTATTTGTAACTGTTTCGAACATGATTTGATAATGAATATTTATACTTTTACCTGTACAATTAGTCTTTTTTTCACCAGAGATAATTTCTTTTTATGTATTTGCGCCACTTAAGTTATTCCCTTTACCACCTTTCCAAGTCGTCTTCTGTCAAGGACATTGGTGGGGGTATGAATCGCATTCAGCGATAGTTCTAGTTCATACTACTTTTACTGTAATAATTTTCAAAGCAATTATAAGCAATGAAGGCATGTAATGTTTTAATCATTAGCTCTGGTTGTTAATGAATTGTAGATGTACTTTTGGAAATGTCAGCAAGTTTAATGGCTTAGTTCTTTTTTTTGGTACCTTTGTGAAAGTAGTACTTTGTCGTAATGCTTGTAGAAGGTGGCCGTGTAGGTTCAAGCCCCATCATAGGCAAGCTCTTTTAAGTTCTGTAAACTGTGATCTTTTATAAATATTCATTAAATATTTTTGTTGTAAAAATTTTTTAGAGTATGTTAATGATATTTTGAACAAATATTTTTTTTTTTTTGCTCAAGTGCTATACTTTTGATGTTTTTGTTTTGTTTTTACTGATCTTTAAAAAAGTAATTCATTCCACATTGTTTATGTTTTTCATGTTTTGTCTTGTCTGTTTGATAGATATACTAGTTTAACTAGATTATTACGTTTTGTAAAAATAACTGAGTTTTTTTTGTCTTTTTGTTATATAAACTTTATGCAAGTGCAATTCATGTTTTTGTACACTGCTTGGAATATATACTGTAGAAATTTGGTAAGTGGAAGTTGAAGTGTAAAAACTTTGAGGCATTTGGACTTCGGCTTGGGTATTGGTCTTAATTAAATGACAAAATTTCAAACCGTCAACATTAACAAGTTACAAAAGGTGTACAAAAGGAAAGGGCAATAACTAAACCAGTTTATAGTGTGATTATCACATGACACTGGGTCTTGGAAGATCCAAAACAGAACTTATTTGTCCAGTTTATTTTCAAATACGACAATGGCAATTAGAATGGTAACAAAGCATAATCTCATACATAGGAACTCTTGCAAAGGAAGTTAGAACACACAGCTAAGAATGAGGCACCTTCCATACAAGTTGGTCAACAATTATTGCAGCTGGAATAGGTGTGAAAAATCTCAAGATCAATGTATGTCAACTTATTTATGATAAAACCTCTCAATTTTCATTGGTTCCATAAAAACTTTGACACGAGGGGGAGGGTGGAAATCAGGACTTTAATTTTATTTTGACACAGAGGAAAAATTTCCAATCTAAGTTCCACATATTGAATTTCTACAGCATATAATTATGTATATTTTCTTTTTATTTTGAAAGCTTTTCTCTTTTAGTGCCTATTAAAACTATGCCTTGTTATTGGTTATAAGAAGTGGCTTCTTGTTGATAAGTTTGTTTTTAATAAAAGCTATAAATATTTTTGACTGGATATATTACCCAGTTTAAACATTTATATAGTAGACAACCATTTTTGTATGACAATACTATGCGTTTGTAATGTCAGTTTTTATTGGATAGTTGTGATGTTTATATAGTTTTATATATACGGCTGCAGTCAATTTATGAATCACTTTACAATTTATATCACTTTTTTTCCCACTCAAATGGAAGTTAGCTGTATTATATATTGGTTATAAAGATTCCTGATAGGTTTATATGACCTAGGCGGCTCAGGTTATATATGCAAACAACTGTTTTAAATAGTGCTAAATAACTGGTCAAAAGCTTTTATAACAGGTTTATAATACTGCACATTTCCAAAAAAAAAAGTTATGTGATTTGTGTGTGTCATATATTTTTGTTTGCTTCATATTGCAAAGTATTTAAGTTGTTTAAAGGGCATGATAATTTTCAGTAATTGACAAATTTCAATTTTCAACGATTGTATAAAAAAAATAATAAAAAAAACCCTTACATTTTAATAAAGGAATAAATGTGTCAGGAGTGATAAAATGTATGTCATGGACTAAAAAAAAATATTAATATAAACTAATACTGTAACCAAATTATTTTGTGTCACAGAGGTTTTTTTTTTAAAATTATTATTATTATGATTTTGTAATTATTAACATTTTATGTTAAACTAGATCTCTTTATGTTTTTTTTTCTCGTTCAGGGATGTTTTATATTATCAATTTATCTGTATAAAATTATTAGGCCAAAATAAAATGATACTTAAAGGCTCTGGTGAAACATACAATCAAAAAATAGGGTTGAAAAATAGGTTCTGTTTTAATTAAAACCAATTTTTTTTTAGATTAAAGTATACATCTGACAAGGGTGCCAACTCCTCATTTCTGCTTTATTGTAGGGCCTCAAAAGGAAGTCGTGTCCAGAAAGAAAAAAAGTCAAAATGTTACAGAAAGCTGATTATTATCAATTTATTTTGGCCATAATGAACATTCTAATATGTATGGAAATTAATCCACGTAGATATGAAATACGCTTTTGCTTCAGCTTGCCCACTTATTGTGTTTGTTGTAAGGTGGATGTGTGATTTTGTTCTTATTAGAGTCAGTATACCAAGTAACAAAGTCATAATGGACTTTTTTATGTGCTTTCAAATTTTCTATAATTTTTAGCAAAACTTTTTTCAAAGAAAAAAAAAAGCGGTATTGTAAGCCATGTTGCCGTCCCCAAAACTTTAACATTGATCATAACTTTTTAAGTTCTTGGTGTATTGTCTTCAACAACCCTTTGGACAAGACCTTCAAGTAGTCCTGACTAATCTTGATCTTCATTCATAAATGACCTTGACCTTCAAGGTCAAATGTCTAAATATAACTGGTATACAATGGTTTTGTTAATAAAATGAAAAAATAGCCCTTTAGCTTGTGAGCTATAATTAAAACTGACATACCAGCAGTGTTGTCAGTCAGGGCCATAGGTCCAATACTGCCAACTATTTTAATATTTTAAATGCATTGATAGGTTGAAAATACTGTTGACTACATGTATTTTATTGTTTTAAATGAATGCATAAGTTAATAACACTACATAAAAAAAACTACTATTGAATGCATGCATAAGTTAAAAATACTGTTGTTTTAATGCATTATTCTTCAAACAACTTCTAGACAATTTCAGGTTAAAAGAAGGACTAATTCACTGAAACAAGTTCAATATGGTAGAGCTTAATAAAATGCATACTTGCATTATATATATGCCCCCCCCCCCCACCTAAAAAAAAAATAAAAATCTGGTCTAAAAATTATGTAAATAGGTTCATCACAAGACATTCTATCTAACATAATACACATGTATTGCATTTGTACATGTAATACAATGTATAATAAAATTGACATAATTAACCAGGTTTTCCGAAGGAAAAAACTGGTTATTAGATTGAGGTATGTCGGCGGGCGGGCGTAAACAATTTTTTCTGTGCGCAACTACTCCTACATTTTTCAATGGATTTTGACCAAACTTTCACAGAAGCTTTGTCATCAAGTGACCTGGCGCATATTGTCGGGGTTTTGTGATTGGATAATATTTGACCTAATTATGGCCCTTTGTTTTTTTTCCTTATATAGAATATATAGTGAATAATTTCTTCTGTCCCAACTGTTCCTACATTTCTCAATGGATTTTGACCACTTTCACAGAGGCTTTGTCATCAAGTGCCCTGGCGCATATTGTCGGGGTTTTGTGATTGGA